CCCGGGGGTCCTTCACGGGGCAAAGGATCCCACCACAGCAACAAAAACCGGGGATTAATCATTTCCTGGAGCAGTCCTCCGGCTCCAGGGAGGGCTGTGGGAAGGACGGGACTGCGGCTGGGACACAAAGATCCCGCTGCTCCCCCAGGAGGTTCATCACAGAAAGTTCCATGGGGAACAGGTGGGGAGGGAGAGGATGTTCTTCTCCTTCCCCAGGTGGTTTCCATCACTTGGGCAGCTTGGGAGGGTGAGGAGGGCACAAACAGATGTTCTGTGGCAGGAAAAGCCTAGGTGATGCTTTTGGGGGCTGCAGGCTGGGAAACCAACCCTCAAGATACATAGATGAATAAATACAGATTAGATATAGATATAAAAATAGATATAGGCAAAATATAGATTAGATATAGATATAAAAATAGATATAGGTATAAATAGATAGATACAGATATATAGATTAGATGCAGACATAAAAACCTCAGCCAAGTCAAACTGGTGTAGGAGATCTTCCTGCTGAAGGCAGGCTCAGACACCCTCCCTAACATGTATTCCTGGGCCCCAGCAACCTCAGAAACACAACAAACTGCACATCCATCACCTCTGGGTCTCCTTGGACCCTATCCAGAGGGACATTTGTCCCTGGAGGAGGGTGGCTTGGCAGCCTGCACCCCCTCAGAGGGGAGATGCTGTGCCGGGATCACCAATGTGGGTGGAAGCAGTGGCATCGGGTGCTCCCAGGGCAGGCGAGAGAGGGCACACATCTGATGTGGCTGCAGCTGGGAACAGGATGAATTCACACCTCCTGGCATCTGTGTGTGCACAAAACATCAGGGAGAACAGGGCTGGGGGTAGGACAGAGCCACCACACCCGAAAAAGCCTCACACAAAGCTTTTGGGGTGTCTCATGAGGATGCTCTGCTCCCTCGGGTACCAGAGCCCTCCAGGACCAGTGAGGGGAGTGTGGCTGCAGGGATGGGGGCTGGAGCAGGGACCAGACCCAGCACGGGCAGAGATCTCCAGAAGGACATCAAGAGGAGGAATGTGGACTCAGGCAGGAGCCACGCAGCCATCCCACTAGAGGGAGCGAGGAGATCAGCTGTGTGAGGAGCGAGCTGAAGCGCTGGGATGAGGGAGCCCAACCCGGGGAAGGAGCTGCAGCAGAAAGTCATCCCCTGCTGGAGCCTAGGGATGCTCCTGGCCAGGGCATGTATGCTGACCCGCCTTGGGATGTTCCAGAGGGTGTTGCTGGCTCAGCAGCTTTAGGGCTCTACATCCCTTGCTGGTCTGGGGCTTCACAGGGCTCCTCCACCCAAACTCCCACAAGCAGCACAGGAGCAGCCCTGGATCACCATGGAACATCCCTGCTCCTCCCTTCCCTCCCTTGGCTCCCAACCTCCAGGTCCCACTCCCAGCCTGAGGTCAGCCAGGGCTGTGGGCACCAGCCTGTGCCCATCCAAGCCACCCCATCCTGTCCCATCTGTGGCCTGGCATGTGTGGGGCTGGAGCAGCTCTGGACATGTCCTGCTGCCACCAAGCAGGGAAGGTCTCCACCCTCCCCACAACAACAGGGACAAGCAAACCCTGGGCCCCAGCCCCGGGTGGGGAGAGACCCAGGAAAGGGCTGAGGATGCTCACAGGGTTTGGGGAAAAGAGGCTGGATCCCCATGGCTGATTCCTCCCTGTAGGAGCCCAAAGGCTGGGAGATGGGGGCCAAAATTTGCTGCCTCTCCACACTGCACAGCCAAAGCCAGGTGTGCATGAACCCAAAATGTGCAAGGTTCACCCCAAAACAGTGTTTCTGTAAGACAGAGGCAGGCAGGGAACACACACCCCCCCCCTACACCCTGTGAGCTTCCCCAACAAGGGCAAGGGGCCTCTCACAGCTCCACAGGCAGTGAATGGACTTCAGCGTCTTCACAAGGAGCCAGAGAGAGAATTCTGGGGAGGGGGAGGGAGGAGGGGGTGGAAAAGTGCTGAGCCAGCAGGAAACCTGCAGTGGAAGGCTCTGAGTCAGCCCCATGCATAGTTTCGCTGAAATCAGCCTCCCCAGCCTCCACATGGCTCCAGATCCCTGGGAGACAAGGCAGGGGGTCTCTGCCCTCACACGAGAGCTGGAGAAGGACTTTGGACAAGGGGATGGAGTGATGGGACAAGGAGGAATGGCTTCCCACTGTCAGAGGGCAGGGTTAGATGGGATGTTGGGAAAAAATTCCCTGTGGGGGTGATGAGGCCCTGGCACAGGTTGCCCTGAGAAGCTGTGGCTGCCCCTGGATCCCTGGAAGTGTCCAAGGCCAGGTTGGACGGGGCTTGGAGCAACCTGGGACAGTGGAAGGTGTCCCTGTCCATGGCAGGGGGTGGAATCGAGGTGAACTTTAAGGTCCCTTCCAACCCAAAGCATTCTGGGATTCTGATTCTATGGAACTAAGGCCCTCTGAGAGCCTACACAGGAGAGGGGGAAGCTGGGCCTTGGAATAAGGCTGGATGTGGGAGCAAGGCTGGTCCCTGGCACCAGGAGAGGGCAGGGCAGGGCTGAGCCCTGGCCAGGGTTCCCAGTGGGTGCTTCACTGCTCCAGAGGGTGAGTTGATCCTGTGCATCAGCTGGATCCACTGACCTTCCTGTTGGAGGTAGGGTGTGATGGGGAAGAGGTTTCTCCCCAAAAAACCCCTCGGCACAGGAACTGATCGATTCAAATCGAAAGACAAACATCTGAGGGCACATTCCAGGGAGGTTACAGCAGCTCCTGAGCCGCACGACGATGACTCCACGTCCCAGGGGCTGCTGTTTCCTGACAGAGGATCAGGATCGTGTGGCCAACACATGTTTGGAATCCTCAGCTGCTGGAGCCAGTGCCAGGCTGGGCTTTGCTTAAAGGAGCAGCCACAGGGAGCTGAGACCCGGCTCTGGGGCTTCCCCAGGGAGGGATGTCTTACAGTGACCCAGCTCAGGGGGGTCCAGCCTTGGCCAACCCCATAGACATTCCATAAAACATGGAAAATAACATGAATGGCACATTCCACCCTCCTGCCTGAAGCAAACTGAAGCGAATCCAAGGGACAGGCTGGGAAATCCTAGAGATACAATTCCCAGCTCTGTGCAGGTATCCCCTGCTGGGTTTCCCCCGTCCCAGCCCCTCATTGATGCCACTGCGAGACTCCAACAAACCCCTCTCCCGCTCCCCTGCACTTGCTCTGCACCACAGAGCACTAAGGAAACAGATTTCCAGGCTCTACTGACCCAGCTCTCCCAGTGCACAGACCAGGAAACATTAGAAGTGAAAAACAACTCCTCAGCCAGGACCGAGGCATTTTTTCCCTGGCTCCCACCCAGTTTTCTCTGCACAGCTCCAGTTCTGGTCCTGCCCTGACTCACAGACAAATCTCCCTTCTCCAAGGCCCAGAGAGCAACTCCAAGCTCCAGGTTCTGGTGGCTCCTGGCTTCCCTCTTCTCCTTGGCAGAGCCCAGCTGTGCCCCTGCCCCATCTGATGGAGCAGCACAGGGATCAGCGGTCCCAAGTTGCTTCAGAACATACATCCACGTCCCACATTGCAAACCACAGAATCATGGAATGGTTTGGGTTGGAAAGAATCCTAAAGCTCATCTGGTTCCAGCACCCTGGCATGGGCAGGGACACCTTCCTCCAGACCGGGTTGGAAAGTAGTTTGTTTCCCAGATGGGCCTTTTCCAGCTCTTTGCTCTTCACCCAATTCTGCAGGTCCTGAGCCTTTTTCATGAGAACAACCCGGAGGGTTTATTTGTCGTCAGATTGTTCAGACATAATTAGTCATCTCCCCCCAGACTCAGTGTCCTCCCCAAATTCCATGTGGAATTTGTCTCACCTGGGGAAGCAGCTCCTTGCCAGGGCAGGGATGGTGCCACAATGGAGCAGCAACGGGCTCTGGGCACCAGGTACACCCTGAGCTGGCAGAGAGGGGGGAAAAAATGCTCATGGGCTTAGCAGAGGCTTTGGGGTGGAAGATCCCCTGGTCTCAGGAGCATCCAGAGTGATGCAACATGAGGTGGAATGGGCAGGATTTCCCCAAGGAGCCCAGCAGCCCCTTCCTGCTGGAAAAGCAGAGGTGGTAGTGGTGAGGCCAGCAAGCAGCCCCAGCTGAGAGGCTTTGGCTGGTAATAAATCAGTCCTCAGCCCTTCAGCATCCCTCTCCATGTCTCCTGGAGGAGACATTGGGTCCCCCCTCCTCCTCCCTGCTCCTGCAGCTTCGATCTGAGCAAGGTTCCAGTGCAGCTCAACAGGGGATGGGGAACAGGGGAGTGCAGCCCCCAAACTACAGCACTGTGGCTTTTTTGTTTAAAGAGCAAGAGGCAAAACCCAGAACACACCAAGGAAACCACCAGCCTCCTGCCCATCCTCTACCTTTGCCCATCACAGCCCACTGGAGATATCCAGAGACACTGGAGACACAGGTCCAACAACTGATTAGATCCATGATCCACAGGCATTTGTGCAACCTGGCCAAAGGCTTTTACAACAGCAATCCAAGCTGATAAAGCGACTAATTGCTCCCTTTCCCGCATCGGGGAGGTCATTAGGGCAGGTCACAGGGCCATGCATGGAGTCAGGGGTGCCCAGGGGCCACCAAGGGCAGCTGCTGCCACAACCACAGCCTGGAGTGCCCGGGGAAGGAGATAGAAAGGGATCCAGAGTCACTCTTTCCACGGCCTCACCCTGTTCCCTGCGCCCCGCTGCCCCCTGAGCAGCAGCCCCTGGGCCACCGTCGGTCCCGGTGTCACCGCTCAGTCTCGGTGTCACCGTCGGTGCCGGTGTCACCGCTCAGTCTCGGTGTCACCGTCGGTCCCGGTGTCACCGCTCAGTCTCGGTGTCACCGCTCAGTCTCGGTGTCACCGTCGGTCCCGGTGTCACCACTCGGTCCCCGCGGAGGCCCCGCCCCTCCTGCCTCAGGCCCCGCCCCCAGACACGCCCCCCGCCCATCGGCCCCGCCCCCTCCTGTCGCTGCTGCCGCCGCCGCCGCTCGGTGCCCGGGACAGCGGGACCGGGACAGCGGGACCGGGACAGCGGGACCGGGACAGGCCATGGCCCCGCACCCGCCCAGCGCCGGGCACTACCTGCGCTCCGACAGCGGCGGCTCGGAGGCGCCCATGCTGGCCGAGGGTCCCGGTCCCGGCCCCGCTCCCGGTCCGGACGGAGGCCCCGGTGCGGTGCGGGGGCAGCGGCGGCGGCGGTGCGGTCCCCTGTGGGGCAGCGTGGCTGTCATGGCCATCCTGGCAGTGCAGATCGCCTCCACCACCGTCCTCTTCGTCTACTTCACCATGGCCATCTCCAAGGTGAGCTTTGCCCCGCGACCCCCCGTCCCGTTTTCCCAGGGGGGGCCGGGACCGGCGTCGCGGCTGCGCCCCCGGGAGGGAGTCCCGGTGGCTGCGGGAGGGCTCTGCCCGCTCCCCGCTCCGCGCCTCTGCCCGCCGGGCACGGCAGAGACCGGCGCTGCCCCGCCGAGGATCCAGATGTGGGGGCGGGGGAGGGGGCGGGCACTGCCCCGGGCCCCCCAGGAGCCGCGGATCCAAATGTGGAATGAGGGATTGAGACTGTCCCCAGCTCCACAGGGAGCCGCGGATCCAGATGTGGGGGCAGGGGAGGGGGTGGACGCTGCCCCCGGCCCCCCAAGGAGCCGCGGATCCAGATGTGGAATGCGGGGTGGACACTGCCCGAGCTCCGCCCGGAGCTGCGGATCCAGATGTGGAGGCGAGGACGGAGGGGTGGACACTGTCGCGGATCCAGATGTGGAGAGACGGCGCCTTTGTCCTGGGCTCCGCCTGGAGCTGGCGGTCCGCACTGGGAGGGGGGCCCTGCCCTGGGATCCCATCAGTCTCCAGCCCCAGAGGGGGATGTGGGGGGATTTTCCAGGCCCCACGGACCTCTGGTTCCTGCTTCATCTTCCCCTTCCCCCATTCCCAACTCGTCCACACTTCAGGACCCCAAATCCTCCTCGCCCGCTTTGTGAAATGCTGGAACCCCCCATACCAGCAACACCCCCCTCATTCCAGCAGCTCTTGTGCTCTTGCTCCTGTGCAATCCCAACAACAGTGCTGAGATCCCGCCATTCCCACCTCCCGCGGAGTCACTCGGGCCAAACCACTCCCAAACTTGGCCATGATCCTGCCAACAGCTCCCCCAGCTCCTGCCAGCCGCTGACTCCAACCCACAACAACCCCCCAGCAGCGTAAGGGAAACACCAGACGAGAGATCCACGGGCAGAGGGAAACTCGGGGCTGCCATGGAGGGCACCCTCATCCCTGAGGGTCCAGCAAGAAACGAGTCCTGCAGTGCCAGACGTTCCACAAACCACACCGGAGACGGGAAAAGGGGAAAAGCCCTGCCCACGGATGCAGGAGGAATAAACAGCCTGTCTGGAGCATCCTTTGGAGGGGGCTCCAGCCCTCCTTTGGGCTTTGTTTCCATCCCCGAGTCACGTGTGGTCCCGCTGTGAGGGATTTACATGAAAGGCGCCACATGAAAGGCACTGGAGAGAGCGGGCGAATGAGGGAGACAGAGCCCCAGGGAAGAGCTGAAGGGAGGGGGAAACCACGGAAATGGACCGATTGGGGCTGATTTCAGCGGCCGGTCACTGGATCCCTCCTGGGATCTGTGCTGGGAACAGGGAGCCAGTCTCCTGGAGCCCCTTTAGGTCCTGGAAGGGCCTGTCGGGTCTGCCCGGAGCCTTCTCTTCTCCAGGGGAACCCCCCAGCTCACCCAGCCTGGCTCCAGAGCAGAGGGGCTCCAGCCCCCGGAGCATCTCCGTTGTCTCCTCTGGACTCGCTCCAGCACCTTCCCGGACCGGGCTGACCCCGGTTCCGCGGGAACGCTCCATAGTCAGCGCTCCGGGCAGCCCGGGGGAGCCGCACGGGTGTGCCCTGCCCGAACACGCACCCGCCGCGGGGATGAACAGCCCCATCCCTCGGGATTTACTGCCTTGGCACCACCCGGCCCCCACCTGGGTGGGCAGGTGTGTGCGGGGAACACCCTCCGGGGTCACCTGCAGCCCATCCGTAGGGAATTGTGCCCCCCTGGCAGGTCCAGCCAGGGCACAAGAGTGCAGAAAGGAACACTAACCCCTTCAATCTGACACCACATGGCTGTCCTGCAGATACGGAGTCTGTATTGATCCCAGTATCCTGTGGATCTAGAGGCTGTATTGATCCCAATATCCTGCAGATCTAGAGGCTGTATTGTTCCCACTAATCTGTTGATATAGAGATATATCCACATGTAAATGGGATGTAGATCCCAAAGGTGAGCACATCCTGGTGTGAGGCAGTGAGTACCCACAGCTGTGGAGGGCAGGGGTCTGGGGGTGCTCAGAGCAAACCAGGACATGGGGAACACGTGTGGGTGCTGGAGGTGGCCAAGCCCTGGGTGATGACATGGCCACCCAAGGCCTCCCAGGTCTGTCCTGGGATCTGGGAACCACCCAGGCGGCATAGGTAGGGTAGCCAAGGTGCCAGTGTGCTCATTCCCAGCTCCTGGCACACTGATTTCAGGGCAGCCATCCCTTCTGAGCCTCAGTTTCCCCATGCCCTGGACAGCAGCGCAGTGTGGGGTGACCCTGTGGCCACCAGGTGTGACGGTCACCACAGCCACACCACGGCCAGAGCGGAGCCGGGACAGCCCTGGGACAACTGGGGAAGGGAAGGCTTCCCATCCCAAACCATGAGCCAGCACAGGGAAGTGCCCAAGACCTGCCTGAGCTGCCCTGGCACTGCTCAGGGTCCCAGCCTGGCAGCTGGAAGAGCCAAGCTGTGCCAGAGCTTGTTTTGCAATCCCAGCCCGGGTCGGGAAGCAGGAGGAGCGTGGCCCTGGATGCCCAGGCATGTCCAGCCTCCTGCAGCAGCTCGTGCTTCCCGGAACCCACGGAGCCAAGGCTGGTGAGGCAGCTCCTGCCCTGGAGCAGTGAGCACCTCCTGGAGCTGGAGAAGCCTCATTTTCCCCAGGGGTGGGAGGGAAAGATAAAGGAGATGGAAAATGGGAATTTTGGGTTATTTACTTGGTGCGCTGTGCCTTGTGAGAGTCCTTGAGTCCTGCCTCCTCCTCCTCCTCCTGCTTGAAGCTGGAACTCCGTGCAAGGGCCTGGAGTGCTTCCAGAAGCACTGGGATGGGCTTCTGCAAGGGATCATGGGAGGGCAAGATGAGATTTAGCATGTCCAAGCCACAAAAAACAGAACTTTGACTGAACTCAGATCCACCCAGCCTCCTACTGCCCCCTCCATCCCACACAGGAGACACAGCTGGGTTTGCATCCCGGTGGATGCTCTGGGACTGGGGCAGCTCAGGGTTGTTCTCTGAGCCCCCTGATGCTGGAGGAGCCAGGCTGAAGGTGACTATCCTGTGTCCATGCCCCACAGGGATCCCCTACTCTTACCCCCATCCATCCCAGTTTGACATCCCGATTTGTTTCCATCCCAGCTGAAATCCCAGGCTCCAGGGAGTGCGGAGGAGCTGCGGTGTCTGCAGATGCTCAATCAGCAGCCCGAGGGCTCCAGCCTGGAGGAGCTGAGCAGCAGCCAGACCTGCCTCAAGCTGGCCAGCACCATCAAAGCCTATGTGGCCACGGTGAGCCCTGGGACCAGGGGAGGATGGGAGAGCTCCTGGCTGCCCCCCCACCTCAGTTTGCCCGTCTGCCTCACTGCAGGGCTGGGAGAGGGGGAATGGCAAGGATGGTTTAAGGAGGGGGCTGGACCCAGGCCCTCCACAGCAAGGAGGTGGTGGGGCACAGAGACAGTGTGACAAACAGGGTGATAGGGGCTTGGAGGAGGAGCTGGGATGTGGGGAACCCCTGTTTCACCTTTAACCGTGGGACATTCTCCTCTCTGTGGCCCAGGTGACAGAGAACATCCTCCGCAGGAGCGCGGTGAAGGGTGAGTCCCTCCTGGCCCAGCTCCAGGGGAGCAGCCGGAGCTGGGATCCATGTGCATGCAACTGGGATGTCAGCAGGGTGGGAGGCTGGGGGGCTCCAGTGCTGTGAGCTGGGAGGGAGAGGGGAGAATCAGGATTATCCCACTGGGTGGTGAAGGGCACACGTGCCAGGAATGGGCTGGAGGGACAGCCATGTCCATCTGTCTGGAGTCCAGGGAAGCAGGGCCATGGGACAGCTCAGACACGCTAGATAATGATTGACAAGACCCCAAATAACCTTCCTCTCTGATGGGTCAGTGGGGCATTTCCCTGCCCTGCTGGCACAGGGCTGGGTGTCCCCACGCCTGGTCCTCTACAGCCGACTCTCCCTTTCCCACAGAGGCCCGGCGGAGCTTCTTGAACACCTCAGAGGGGCAGGTTCCTCCCAAAACAGCCGGGAAGCCCTCGGCACATCTCACCCTCCGCCCGCAGAGCCTGAGCCAGGATGGTGAGTCAGGGGGTCCTGCAGGGCTCCAGTGGGTTTCCAAGATGGGAACAGGGGAGATGACTCTCCCAAAGGGCAGGGGACCAGGACAGGGAAATGGGGAGCCCCACTGGGCACTGAGTGGTCTCGGAGGTGGGAACAAGGGAGAAACCTCTCCCAAAAGGACCAGCATGGAAGGAGATGTTGGGTGGCAGATGGGGACCAGTCACCTTCTCCACCCCTCCAGACTGGGAGAGAGTTGGAGCCACCCCCTCCCCTTCCCCTGAACCTGCCAGGTCGCTCCCCTCAGTGACCCTCCCTTCCCCCAGGAGTCTCGGAGCGCTTCGGGAACCTGTCGCAGTCGTGCCGCCATGCCATCACGCGCTGGGAGCACAGCACCCTGCACTCCCACCTGCAGAACATCACCTACCGCGACGGGCGGCTGCGGGTCGAGCAGCCGGGCAAGTACTACGTGTACTCCCAGATCTATTTCCGCTACCGCAGCGCCGGCGCCCAGGACTCGGGCCCGCAGCTCGTGCAGTGCATCCAGTGGCAGCCCTCCCACAGCCAGCCCATCCTGCTGCTCAAGGGCGTGGGCACCAAGTGCTGGGCGCCCGAGGCGGACTACGGGCTGCACGCGCTCTACCAGGGCGGGCTCTTCGAGCTCAAGGCCGGCGACGAGCTCTTCGTCTCCGTGTCCTCCTTGGCCATCGACTACAACGACGCAGCCGCCAGTTACTTCGGGGCCTTCCGGCTCGACCTGTGACACCCCCTCTGCTCCCACCTGCCCGCTGGCTCTCCCACGTGGCCCCGGGGACAGCGGCCCAATGGCCGGGGGGTGGCACAGGGTCCTTCCCGGTGTGCCTTGTCCTTTGCGGTGAGGGACGAGCCAGAGAGGGCACGAGGAAAGGCCCTCTGCAGGGACCTGCTGGGCTTGGGGCCACCATCCAGGTGGGAGGAAGCCTGAGAGCCTGGAAGGGTCCCCAGGGACCTACAGGGGACATGCACGATGGGAGATATCCCAGCCCTGGTGGCACATCACCTCCCAGGGGCTCCCTGCAGCAGGAGGGGCACCAGGGCCACGTCCACCCTGGCAAGACATGGCAAGGCACGGTGTCCCCATGATGGGGTGGCCCTCCATGAGTCTGACCCCACCTCGGGCAGGGGCAGCCCCAGCTGGGCTGTGGGTGCCAGGGACCCTGGGCTGGAGGTGCTGGGGCAGCAGCTGGGGTGAGCAGGGGCACAGAGGACACAGGGCTGGCACACCCAGGGCACGGCCTGCGGGGAAAGGAGCGATGGAGTTTCGGTTTGGGCAGATCAGAAACCTGGGGCCACGCCAGCGATGGGCTCCGGGGAGGGCAAAGGGCAGGACCGTGACAGCAGGGCAGTCACCAGCCCGGCACCACACCCGGCACGTGGCACTGGGCAGTGCGGTGCCCCAGCCAGGCTGCACGGGACCAGGAGCTCCATCACTGCTGCCCAAGCACCTCTTCCCCGGGGGATTTGTCCCCCCAGCCCTGAGGGACCAGCGCAGCCCCCACTTCCTCACCCCTGCAGCCCTGGCAGTCCCTCACCTGCAGGATTCCAGCACCGGGAGAGCCCGGGCAGGACCTGGGAGGGACCAAACCCACCCCAGGAGATGGAGGCCAAAGAGGGCTTCGGGCAGGGCCCAGCTGGCTCAGCCCACGGACACCAGGGTGGGCAAAGCCCCTTTTTCTAATTACCCCTGTACTCTCTGTATCCTACTAAGACTGTGGGTGTGTATGGACAGGACAGGAGTGGGGGCTCCTGCCAAGGATGGGTGCTCCCAGGAAGGATGGGATCACCCCCATGGCTGGCACGGCTGCGGGGGGCTCTCAGTGCTGGTTGGAATAAAGCCTGTACTCCAGCAAGGGTCTGGCCCCTTTGCATCAGGCACCCAGGATACGTGCCTGGGGTCTCTGCACAGGCAAGCTGGACACAAACCCAGGGGAGTAGGGACATGCAGTACCCTGAGAGCTCCAGACAGAGCCCAGCGAAGGTCCTGCCTTGTCTTGCACCCCAAAGGGCCCCACAGCTCCTCACCCCATGGGTGACTGGGGCAAGCCCAAGGAGATGTGTTCCTCCTTCCCAGCCCAGTGCCTTCATCCCCACTGGAACCAGCTCCTGCAGATCCCCCACCCAGGAGCTGAGCCCAGCCCTGCTCCTCCTCCCCTGCACCTTTCAGCTCCCAGGTGATCCAGGTGCTTCTCCTCTCTCCATTTCAGGATTGCCAAGCCCAGCCCAAGGCACAGCCTGACCCCAGGGTGCCACAATGGGCTGGTCCCCACCATGCTGTGGCTGGGCAGGGGCTGCTCCTGGCTCCTGCCATTGCTCCCACAGCTTTCCAGGCCTGACCCCCCCACCCACTGCATCCTCTGCTGGGGCCTGGGGGACTGAGCCAGGTGGTTCCCACATCCCTCCACACCCCCAGGTGTTTGGCATTCCCATTCAGCAGTGCCCATCTCCTGCAGGTTCCTGCTCCAGGGGGGCTGATACAACTCTCCCAGGGGAATGGTGCCACCCTGGCACCCAGAGCCTCCAAAAACTCATCCAAAGCCAGAGAGCACTGAGAGCATCCTCCTGCTGCCTCCAAAGGGGTCACAGGGCTGATCCCCCCATGGCAGGGCTGTGGGGTCCCATTTCCCCAGTCACCATGGGGGCAGGGAGGGACAGAGGGGTGGAGGGAGCTGAGCTGAGCTGCTCTGCAGCACTTGCCCCAGAGCACGTTGGGCTCTTGCCCAAAGCAAACAAAACCTGGAAGCGCACTCCAAACCCCTCCATTCCAAAACCACATTGAAAATGATCCCTTTCCCTCCACCTCTCATCCCAGCTCCTCCTGTCCCAGCCACCTTGGTGACCCCACAGCAGGAATGGGGCTTCCAGGGCTCTTGACATCCCCACCAGTCCCAGCATCCCCCTTGGGGACCACTGATCCCATCCCTGCTCCGCACCCCAGCTCCTCTGGCAGCAGCCACGGGAGCTCAGGGCTCAACCAGCCAAGGCAGGGCTGCTGGAAACGCAGCAGGTGGTTTCCAAGATTTCCTCTGAAAGGGGGTTTAAAGTGGACACGGCCCGGTGGAGGCGGCAGGAGGTTGTGTTTGCCGTGAAGGAAGCAGGGAAGGCAGCCCCGTGTGCGTGAGCGGGGAGAGCCGGGCCCGGCGCCAGCGGGCCATGGGCCACTCCGCTTTCCTGGAAAGGAGAGGGCTCGTGGGCGGAAGGACTGGGGAAGGAGAACTCCACCAGCATCAGGGCAAAGAGCAGCCTCGCCCTGTCTGGGGAGAGATGAGTGGTACAGAGAGAGACGGGATGGAATTCCTCCCTGTGAGGGTGGTGAGGCACCGGCACTGAGCCCTCTGCCCCTGCCATCGTGCTCCCTGCCCTGGTGCTTCCAGCAGATGGGCTCAGCCTGGCCAGGGACATGCAGCCTGGCTGACTCTTCCCACCTGGACAACAAGTGGCAGCAGAAAAACCCAGCCTCCACCAAAACCTCCCTGCCCCAGGACATGCTCTGGGGAAAAGAGGAGAACAAAGTGTGGAGAGACCTGGATGAGGGTGCAACACTTTTCTCCAGCTGAGGAAGCAAATAAATCATCTCTCATTGAGATTTTGTTTTAATTCTTAAAGTTGCTTATTAAAAGAGACATCCCACTATTTTAACTTGAGTACTCCTGACAAGTTCACTGTAGCTCCTACTGGAAAGTCAATGGTCGCTAAATCACCTTTTGTATCAAAGGACTGAGCTGGTCGTGCTACATCCTTCCCAAAATCTGTTTTCTTTAGGCTTTTTTTTTAAAAGGCAAGCAAGAGCAGAAACACCACCAGTGCTTGAGGTCCTGGAAGGAGGAGTGTGGTGGAGGCACAACAGATATTTGCTTTCAAAAGATTCGTTACTAAATAATGTCACAACAATTCCCTTACCCGGGGAAACTCTTTAATTCTGGCATCACCAATTCACTTCATTTGCATCCAGCTCAGTCTGTGGAACAATGCAGTTATCTCAAATACTTCTACAAACATATTGCCCAAAGTTTCACCTGGTCCTGCACTATTGGACATGCTCAGCAGCAGCAGCAGAGGCCGTGGCCTTCCCTCTGGATCCTGGCCAGATCCCTCCCTGCAGCTGAGGGCAGAGCTGGGAGAGGCCAGGGCAGGTGGGGACAGGCTGTGGGAACACAACACGTGCTCTGGGGGAAGAGGAGCCTCGGTGCATGGACCAAACCTCTCCCACAGTGAGGAGCAGTTTGGCTTTCCTGTGCCAAAGGCAGGGCAGATCATCCCACACAATCCAGGGCTGCTTTTCCCGTGCCTCCTGTGCCAGCACATCCCTCTGGCTGAGAGCCACGCAGACAAAATAATGAAATTCCCCAAAACCGAGAGCTCCAGCTCCCCAGGCAGCACATCCCTGCAGTGACAGCTCCGAGAGTTCCCAACCCTTCCTTGATGGCCTTAGGCCAAAGGAGGGCAGGGTTAGATGGGATATTAGGAAAAAATCCTTCCCTGTGAGGGTGGGGAGGCCCTGGCACAGGTTGCCCAGAGAAGCTGTGGCTGCCCCATCCCTGCAAGTGTCCAAGGCCAGGTTGGATGGGGCTTGGAGCAATCTGGGACAGTGGAAGGTGTCCCTGTCCATGGCAGGGGGTGGCTGATCTTTAAGGTCTCTCACAGCCCAAACCATTCCATGAGTCTATGATTCCTTCCTGCTCTAAACCAGAGGGGAGGTGGGGGTTGACTGCTGCACTAATATCGATTCCCCATTGACCTGATTTCTCACGGCCTCTCCATGTGGATTCGATCCAGGCAGAAACTGCTTCCTGCAACCACTGACAAAGGACCCTCTTATCTCCCCTGCAGAGGAGCTGTTTCACTTCAGTGCCGAGGAGCCCAGCCCAGGGCGTTCACGGCCCCGACCCCTTTGTCTCTAAATAAATCCTCCGCTCAAAGGCCCTTTTTTTCCCCCCCGTTTATTGTTATGAGCCAGCTCATCACTGCCTCCAAGTCTCCATCTCCTCCCAGACCAGATCTTGTTTTACTTTCAAGTTCCCAGCCCGGCCCGAGTTTGTGGCGGGAGGAGGAAATCCACTCCAAAAAACACGTCACCGCCCCAGGAAATCATTCCTTGGGGCATTGTAAATAAAGCACACAAAGAAAGGCTGTGGGGTGTGACCCCCCCCATCGCTGCTGGCACCCCACGCTCTGCCCCAGGGTACACAGGGCACCTCACCAGCCACCGCTCCCCCCAGGCAGTGATTCAGCCTGGAAAAAGGGAGACAAAACAGAAACCTTCTTTGCTATAGCACGAAGGATTATGGAGCTGCAGGAGGCAGGATGCTCGTTAAACCCTTGGGAAAACATTAATGCTGGGGCGCCGTGACCAAGCAGAGGGGACCCAGTGCTGCTGCAGGCGGGAGCCCGAGTTCATCCATCACGGAATCGCAGATGGTTTGGGTTGGAAAGACCTTTAAAGGCCATTTAATCCAATCCCATCCCAGCTGTGCTGCTCCCAGCCCCTTCCCTGAGGTCCCACTGAGGAAATTAGGGGGATTTCTTTACTCCGCAGGGGGTTTCTCTCCTTTTCCAGTGCCAGTTGCCTTTCCAGTGCCAATTGCTCAGCCTCTGGCTCCCAGCAGCAGCCCCCGGGGCGGTGGAGCCGATTGCAGCGGCTCGGCCGGCTGTTCCTCCCCATTCCTTCCCATTCCCTCGCAGACAGATCCCCACTGGCAGCGGCCCCGGCCCCGCCCCGGCTCTGCCCTTGGGAATGACGGAGCTGTACACAAGGAAAGTGCTGAGCCAGCTCGATGCACGGGCCTCGTGCACCACAGACACGCAGTTTCCCCCTTTATTTCCCCGACGAGACAAGCTGGAGGCACCAGGAAAAGATAATTCCACTTTTAAAGAAAAGTTCCGCGTTTTCTGTCCCGTTCAAACCCCAGCTCTTGGATGGAGTCCTGGAATCACAGACTGGTTTGAGTCGGGACCTCAAAGACCAGCTTGTTCCAAGCCCCTGCCACGGGCAGGGAGGCTCAAAGTCACCTCTCCCCCCTCCCATCCTGCATCCAACAGCTGAGCACAGCCAGCCCTCAAACCCAGGAGAATCCCAAATATCGTGCATCATAAAAAGGGTATGGTAACCCCCTCCAGGCCCCTTCCTCCTGGGTTACTCATCTCCAGCTCTGACCTGCATCCACAGCTGTCTGCTGAAGGGAATCCCAGGGCTCCTCCTGGAGTAAAGAGCAAGAACTGGACAGGGCAAAACACTCCTCAGGAGCTGGAAGCGCCCCAGGGAAGGGGGTTCTCGGTTTCTCTGCTGCAGAGAGGTTTTGATGAATCCCACACTGGTTTGGGCTGGAAGGACCCTGAAGCTCATCTCATTCCACCCCCTGCCATGGGCAGGGACACCTTCCACTGGCCCAGGTTGCTCCAAGCCCCGTCCAAGCTGGCCTTGGACACTCCCATTTCCACCTTGCCCACACGTTCCAGACCTTCAGCCACTAAAGTAGGAAAATTAGCAGTTTCCACCATTCAAAGGATCTGCCCAGCAGGAGGCACGGAAAGGCCCTGGACTGTTGGAATGCTCCCATTGTACTCTCCCATTGGCACCACATTTAGTTTGGCAGTGATAGGACTAGAAATCCCGCCCACAAAAAGGACAGAGCCTCCCTAAAGCCCAGGCCTACCGGGCTTTCCCAGCCTTTCCCAAACTCTCACCCTCCCAGGCAGGAGCTTCTCCAGGACACCTCTCCCACTAAAAAAACAATCCAGGGGACAGGCACACCAACGGCTGTCACAGAGTGAGGAGCTGCTGGCAGGTGTTTCCTGCCCAGTGCCCCTGTTCCCAGATGGCAGAGCAGCTGCTGTCCCCTCCAACACTGTGCTCCCTGCCCTCTGCTTCCCCAGGAGCAGCTGGGATGACCCACCAGCCAGCTGGGATGTTCCATCTGGGATGACTCTCCAGCCAGCTGGATGCTTCAGACTGCACACAGATTTCCCTTCTGGCACCTCCTGCCCTCACCTTTGCACTGAGCTGCTGCAGCCTTCCCACTGGCAAAGGAATCCGCTCATGGATCGTGGATCTAATTGAAGCAGGGACCGTATTTTTCAAGCTGGAGCCCTCCTACTTGTGATAAGGTAAAGAGGAAAGTGGAAAAGCTCTGTCTTTCTGGTATTCCAAGTGTGCCACAGGGAAGAGAAGCCAGCATGTGCAGGACAGGCATCCCTGGGAAGGAGCCCCCAGAGGAGTGGGAGAAGGCAGGTTCCTCCCTGGACTGAGCCCCAGATCCCCAGAGCATCCCCCTGCCCTGCAAGTGGAACAACAACAGGCATTTAAAGGCAAAGCTGCTGCTGGCCCGGGCTGAAGGAGCACACAAAGCATTCCAACCATCTCCTGCTGCACAAAACCACCACAAACCAGGCCAGGCATTTATTTTCCAAACAGAAGGAATGGGATCTGTCAGTGACATCTCGAGCTGAGGCAGCTTTGAGCTGTACAAGAATTCCAACATTGCCACGGTGCTGCTGGCTGGAAGCAGCAGCAGCAGGGACGGGCTGCTGGATGGCTTTGGAAGATTAAGAATCTGGCTTTTGCTCCATGGAAAGATGAGGAATTTGTTTGCATTTGAGAGAGTCTGAGGTGTACCCAACTTCCAGCCACGTCCAGCCAGGAGCCCCCACTCCCCACAGAACAGGTTTGTCACGGAGCGTGAAACAACCGCGGCCATGACGAACAGCACCAGCCTCCCCAGCATCCATAAACCTCCCCAATTCCAGGGAATGGGCACAGGTTTCATTAACAGGAAAGTCATTTGGTCAGCTCTGGGACAAGGACTGAGGAGCACAGAGGGACACGGTGGACCAGGCTGGGAAGGGTTTATTGCATAGTTGTTGGCCAGAGGAGAGCTGGAGCAGCGCCGCAGGGAAGTGGCCGTGTTGGGAGTTCTCCAGCTGGGATCTGGCGTGGGAAGGGAGCAGGGAACAGCACACACATCCCTGTGGACATTCTGGGTGCGGGGCTCTCTGGTGGGACAGGTGGTGAGGAGGAGGAGGTCACCTGTGCAATGTCCAACACCATCAGGGTTTTTGGGAAAGGGCAGGAACAGCAGGCTCAGCCTCTGGGATTTTCGTGACATGCTTAAGGGAAATCAAGGAGACTGAATCCTTGGGCATGGAGCTGTAAAAGGGATCAGGAGGGGAACACGTCTGTGAACTCCTCCTGCCTCCTCCTTGGGGCTCTCCCGGCAAGGCAGCGGCAGAGTAATTAATACATTCACTAATTAATCAAAACCAGCTTCTTCCCAATCAGAAACTGGGCCCAATTTTAAGGGGAGGGTTGGTCTGGGTTTTGTTTTTTCCTTCTTTCAGCCAGGCAGCCTCAGCTGGCCAATTTTTAATTTTCCCTCCCCTATTTTGGCTTTACAAGGTTCTAATTTTTCCCAAGTGGTTAATTGGGAATGCACCACCCTGAGTACAGCCGTGTCCCTCTGCCACCACCTGAACACTGTGCAAGATCATCCTGCTCCTTCCACACCTCTGGAGGTGCAAAAACACCTTGGTTTTTCCTCCCCAGGTTAGTAACAACAGTTCCAATGAAAGAAGAGGAGGAAATACAATTCTCTAACACTTTGCTTTTACTCCTTCATGGAATCTTTCCAATGCAACTTCACAAAAGCAACGTAAATAAAGTCTATTTTTCTTCTAAAAAGAAGATCCTGTTCCACAGATTCCGTAGTGCAATTGGTTATCTGGTAGAAAAAAACAACTTATCTTCTTCGGCTCCGTGGAGGAAAACTCTGGAAACAGTTCCATGGTCTCAATAAAAATAGGAAAGTCTATCCAGGATGGGCTAGAAAGTTCCATGTGTGTGGACACACAGTTCCTACAGTCTGCCTCTAGTTGAAGAGGATGGACTCTGGGTCCTGGTTGGCCATCTGTGCAATGTGCTTTAGTACATCCTTTTTGGTGATGATCCCCAGCAGCTTCCTGGAAAATGAAACACGTTTTTAATGCACTGACACTCCCAGAAGGGTCCCTGGCAGGGCTGTTTGAGGCCCTTGCAGGGGCTGAAGAACCTTTTGGGATCTGAAGATCAAAAGACCCCAAACCCAATTCCTGAAGGGGTGTGGCAAGAACACTGAGTGCCACGTCCAGTCCTTCCTTGGACACCTCCAGGGAAGGGGACTCCACCACCTCCCTGGGCAGTTCCAATGTTTTACAACCCTTTCCATGAAGAAATTCTTCCTGATACCCAACCTGAACCTGCCCTGGCACAGCTTGAGGCCACTTCCTCTTGTCCTGTCACTTGTTCCCTGGAAGAGCCCGGCCCCCACCTTGCTGGTGCCATGCTCCAGGAACAGATCACGCAGTTTGCTCTCATCCTTCCCTTCCTCAAACTACTCTTATCAGCACCAAAGCAAATCCCAGGATGCACATGGACAGATTTGGGAGGAGGTCTGAGCCCATCAGCTGCAGGGACCCATCAGCACAGAAGCTGAGCCTTATAGCCTTATCTTCCTGCTCCAGCTGGAACTGGGCTGTCACAATTCCCTTCTTCCAGGCAAAAATTGCTCCAGCATCCAGCATGGATGGCCATGGATGTCCCCTCTGCCCCTGGAGAGCAGGAGAGGCTCTGACCCAGGGACCCCAGGGCTCTTACCCGTTGTGAGTGACCAGGCACTGGCGCAATCCCAGCTTGCGGAAAATATCCACGACAATTTCCATGGGCGTTTCATCCGTCACTGTGAAAGGACTGAGGTCCAGGATGCTCCTGAGTTTCAGCACAGAGGGGGAGCTCGGAGGCAGTGGGGGACAGTAATCAGTGAAACAAATAATTGAAGTGCTCACGATCCCGTCCTGCTTCTTCCGGGCATTTTCTGGAAGAAGAAATATTGGATTAAATATCAGCCCTCCTTTCCTTTTCTAAATGGAAGAGCATTCCCTTTCCTCTGCCCACACTGGATGTCCTTAGAAGTGTACTCTTCCTTTCACCTGAGCTGTTCCTTCCCCCACTGAGGGGGAAGTAAGTTTCCAGCCTTTCTTCTAATGGAATCATGGAGTCAATAAGGTTGGAAAAGACCTTTCAAGATCATCAAGTCCAACCATCAGTGCAGCACCACCACCATGTTCACCACTAACCATGTCCTCAAGTGCCACATCCACACGTTTTCTGAACACTTCCAGGGATGGGGACACCGCCTGGGCAGCCTGTGCCAGTGCTGGACAGCCCTTTCCATGAAAAAACTTTCCCCAGTATCCCAAACCTAAACCTCCCCTGGCACAACTTCGTTTCCTCTCCTTCTGTCACTTGTTACCTGGGAGAAGAGGCAGCAGAACCTCCCAGGTCTCCAAAGTTCCACCCCAGGGGTGAGACCAGAACATGCTCTGCCCAAGGCCAAGGCTGCTGCACCTCGGCGTTGTGCTCTGGCCAGGTAAATACAAGTTCTGGAGATCTTTAACTTCCCAGTTTTCAGAGGCAGTAGATAAAATGCTTTGTACTTTTATAAGTCACCAATTTGGGTCCCTTGCAGAGCAGTTAAAGGACTATTTTGAAGCACTTAACGACTGGCACAGACTCCGTGGAGGTCACTTGGGTCAGGAATGGAAAACGTGTCAAGCACTGGCCATCCCTCAGACCTTCCCACTCGTGCACGCACAGGTATTTAAGGGCCCTGCCAGCAGCGCAGTGTCACCTCTTACCGATTGAAATGATGAGGTCCCTCCTGAGGACGAAGCCCACCAGGCGCTGGGACGCCCTGGACACCACCACGGGGTAGCCGCTGTAGGTGGTTTTTGTGACGATGGTCTCCACGTCCTCCACGGTCATGCTGTCCTGGGTGATGACCGTCAGGGGGGGGTCGTTCTTGCGCGGCCTCATCACGTCCATGGCCCGCGTCTTGTGCGAGAACTCCTCCTTGGCCTCCAGGAAGGGGTACCCGTTGAGGCGGATGTGGGCGTCGTAAATCCCCTCCCGCCCGATGGCGTCGGCCACCCACTTGCTGGTCATGGCCGCTGCCATCAGGGGGACGATGTACTCCAGCCCCCCCGTCAGCTCGAACATGATGACCACCAGCGACACGGTCATCCGGGTCACCCCGCCTGCAGGCACGGCACAGGAAGGCACACGACGCAAACAGGTGATTTGGGGGATTTTCCACCTGCTCCCAGGTGTGTTTTACCCGCCCTCTGCCACCAAAGGCTGGCACCAGCACAGGTGGTGCTGTTGGGCTGTGACATGACTGGAATTACAAGCGAACAATCCCAGAAGGTGGGAAGGAACCTCAAAAGTGTATCTTGTTCCAACCCTCTGATATGGGCAGGGACACCTTCCACTAGACCAGGTTGATCAGACAAGGTGTATTCCCCTCTAAAAAGGTCCAAGATGGGGTTTGGTAACATGTTTCTATTGTCCCTGAGAGTTTCTCCTGATAAAGTAGTGCCTTAAGAGTTACACATATTCTGTGGAGAAGAGGATCAGGAATTACAGGACTGGGAGGATTGGAAAGTGAAGTTGGATCACATGCACCCAATCTCTCAAACTCAGCCCAGAGGAGGAAGTGTTACAAAAACACTTGAAAGCAGAATTGCACCATGAGACTTAAGGCCAGAACAGGAAGTAAAATGAATTAAAACATTTTACTTAAAAAGTCCCACAGGAAAATATAAGTCCCTGGGCAGCCTCATCTGTCCTGGCTCCCACCTCGGAGCTCCCCACCAGAGCCTGCCGTGTCCAGTGCCAGGTTGGGGCTGGCAGAAGAACACCAACAGGATGAGAAACACATGGCACTGGAGGCTCTGGAGGTGAATGGCCTGCCACAACTGCAGCTCCTCCACCACAGAGTCGCTGAGCAGTAGAACAAGATCGATCTTTAAGGTCCCTTCCAACCCCAACCATTCTGTGATTCCACGATCAAAGCTGAAAAAGACCTCTGAGATCACCCGAGTCCAACCTTTAACCCCCTACAACGCCTCTTCCCGTGGCCAGCCCCGCCCCAGCCCAGGGGCAGGCCCTGGGGAGCGCAGTGCTTACCCAGACACGCCGCGGCGCCCACCATGGCGTAGAGGCCGGGGGTGATGCAGTCGGCCCCCTGGCTGCACCAGCCGCTGAAGATGGCCCAGTCGTGGTGGTAGAAGGCCAGCTGCTCCACGGCCACCCCGAGCAGCCGCCCTGCGATGGCCCCCACGGCCATGCTGGGGATGAAGAGGCCCGAGGGCACCTGTGGGAACAACGCGTGGGTGAGCGCCGGCGCCCGGAGGCTCCCCGGGTGAGGGATGGAACCCCCAGACGGACACAGCTCAGAGGGTTTGCTGGAGTTAAAGTCACACAGCTGTCGAGTTGGAAGCGATGCTTTAAAGGTCTTCTATAGTCCAACCCCCGTGCAATGAGCAGGGACACAAAAACTGTCAAGGATCAGAGAATCCTGGAGTGGTTTGGGTTGGAAGGGACCTTAAAGCTCATCGAGTTCCACCCCCTGCCACAGGCAGGAACACCTTCCACTCAACCAGGTTACTCCAAGCCCTGTCCCCTCTGCCCTTCCTGCACCCTTGTGCTCCAAGTTCTCTGCAAGAGAGTCTGAATTTTCTCCTTTCTGACCAGGAGAACCAGCCACAAAACTGGTTGGTGTGGAACAGAACAAGCTCTTCTCAAAAGAGATCATAACCAACCTTCACCCTCAAGCCGCTAACTCCACGCCTTTCCAACCACACCACCACATGTTTACTGCAGGCATGGGATTTTCCCACTCTCTTCCTTCACACACTGGGAGTGGAATCACCCTTCTTCCCTGCCAGAAATCCAAACTCCACCGTGACAGGGAATTAGCACACGCAGCACAAGTGACACCCAGCAAAGCCACTGCCAGCATGTTTCAGTTCTGCTGTGCTGTTCCAGGACTCTGGAAGCACGTGTTGTTTCAAGTTAGGGAATTCCCTCCTTCCCTCCCTTTTTGTTTCCACAGTGGCCATACAGTTTTGTCACACCTAGCCTGTCTCTCTTACAGACTCAGTGGCTGCCTTGGAATGTCAGTGACCACCTCAGGGCAACAACAATGCCCAACCTCTGTGGTGGGGTCACCTTTCTGGACAGACCCTTGAGGACTGGGGGAAAGGGGTGATACTCATCTCCACCACCTGAACCCCACTGCAGGAGAGCTCAGACCTGGGCACTACAGCTGCAGCTCCAGAGGCTGCACCAAATGAGTTCCAAACCATCAGAGCCAGGAACAGTTATGATTAAGCATTTACAAATCAAGGTATCGATTGCTTTGCAGTTAGCTATTGCATCTGTACCACATATATATCAAAAAGGCTTGAAGCAGGACAATTGTGTGTCTGGAAAACAGGATGTGGAGCCCTGAGACACCAGTTTTGTGACTGCACTTGGTGCTCAAACTCAGGATGAAAGGTTTCTACTACCCTGAGGTACAAAGGGCAGGACCAATAACTGCAGCCTGTCACCTTACAGCAGAGCTTGGGGGGAAACACGTCTGGTTAGGGAGGGAATTATACTTTAGGACCAGGAGTCCTTTACAGGCAAGCCTCACCTTCATGCCAAAGGTAAAGATGGTGATGAAGACCTTCATGATGAGGGCCAGAGCCAGCTGCCACATGGCCGTGTACACGCCCGGGCCGGCGGCGCGGTCCGGCAGGTCGTCCCCTTTGGTGCTGTTGAAATCATTCACGTACTCGCAGAGCTTGGACGAGTCCAGAATCCCACAGTCGTTGAAGAGCTCCGAAATGAGCTCGCTGGTGCTCATCCTGGTGTACTCGTTGGGGAAGGCCAGGATGGCTGTGATGGCCGTGACCACAAACACCTCCAGCACGGGGTATTTGCCCAGCCGGGTCGTCTTGCGCCGCCGGCACCAGGCGATGTTGCTGCGGATGAAGAAAGCTCCCCAGAGTCCACCAAATATTCCCAGCAGGATGAAGGGCACCAGCTCCAGCAGGTGCCATGGCATGTGAAACTCCACGTAGAAGAGAACGAGGCGGCTGTTCCCGAAGGGGTTGATGGAGCGCAGGGTGAAGGCAGCGACCAGCGCGGCGAAGAAGGAGCGCCACAGCGTCTTGAGAGGGAAGTAGTAACTCACCTAAAGGCAACAACAAAGCACATCTGGTCACTTCAACACTTGTCACTACCCCACTGCAGGAAGCAGAACCAGGGGCAGAGATCCATGCCTGCTGGCTCATTCCCTCCTCTCCAGCCAAGCAGCCCAGGCTTGATTTGGAGCTCCCGATCAACAGGCGTTGCAATGAGTGGGATGGGCCCTGGCCTTCCACTGCAGCTAGTGCCCTCTGTGATCCCTGAAGCGACTCACTTGGATAATAAAAGGTGTTACACATCAGCCATGAGCTGATTCTGGGGAACTGTGTGGCTCTGCAAGGTCCAAAGTGCCAAACAGCAGCACCTGCTTTTGCTGCCACCACAACTAGTGATCAGCTGAGCACATCCATCCCAGCCCTCCTCTGAAAGCCCTGAGCTAAGCCTTGAGGCAAGCAGTGATGATCCTTTCACACCTGAGATCAAGAGATCAAGGATTAGAAGCTCCTTGGGAAGAAAAGGGGACTGATAAGCCAGAGAAGTTTGTTCTCCAGTACCCTGGGACAGAACTCTCAGGAGACTGGACAAGAGGAAATGGCCTCAAGCTGTGCCAGGGGAGGTTCAGGTTGGGCAACAGGAGGAATGTCTTCACTGAAAGGGTTGTTAAACACTGGAAGGGGCTGCCCAGGGAGGTGGTGGAGTCCTCATCCCTGGAGGGATGGATGTGGCACTCAGTGCTCTCGTCTGATTGACAAGGTGAGGATCAGTCACAGGCTGGACTCAATGATCTTGGAGGTCTTTTCCAACCTCAGTGATTCTACATGGAAAACACAACTGTGGCTGTGAGCAGTCAGCAATGCTGATCATGGACAGATGAGGGGAAACCAACCAGTTTATGGCAAAGCTACAGACAGACATCATCCAAAATTAACCCTCCAGCACTCATAAGAATTACCTGAACCCCCAGCTAGTGTTTAGGTTGGCCTTGTACATACAGTATTCCAGAGGCTCTGCTCTCCACAGCCCGGCAGGCAGGAGTGGGCTGTGTTTTTAACCCAGCAGGGCCAGTTCTGCACTAAAGCAGCTCAAGAGCCAAGGTTACCTCTTCCAGGCTGAAGAGCACTCCTCCGATGGGCGCACCAAAAGCCACCGACACGCCGGCGGCGGCGGCTGCTGACAGCACCTGAGGGAGGGACAAAGGCAGTCAGACTTCTCAGCCCTGCCCAACCACCCCCCTTCTCCTGTTTGCCTTCACTTAGATTTGTACATGTTTATCTGCAGCCAGTGCACGGTCAGCTGGGTCTGACCTGCCTTGAGGCAGCAGGGAAAAGGTGCAGTGAGCCAGTTCCCAAGGGAGAAGTAGCTCCAAAAAAATCAGTGTTAGCACTTCAGCAGTCCCAGCCCCAAATGAGTAGAAGTGGCATCACTGGCAACTTCCTTTTCTATTGCAGCTGATTTCACCTCAGACAAAGCTTCAGTACAACACAATAGCAGTAATTTCACCCCACAGAACACCCCGAGTTTTCCTGTCTCACACTCCCCCTGCATCTCAGCAGGGTGTGACATAAGTGGAGGTGCTGTGGAGTCCCCCAAACCCTGCCAGCTCACCCAGTAGGTTCTGCCAGGTTTGGTTCAGCAGAAGGTGCATTGGCACACGTGGTACACGCTGGCACACGGAGAACATGCCACAGCAGAGCAATTTACCCCCAGGGGGGCAGCCCCAGGGCCACGACCTCCCCAGCCTGGTGTCTCCACGTACCTCTCTGCGCTTGGCTTCGTTCTTGCGGTACTTGGTGAAGAGATGGCACAGGATGTTCCCACAGCAGCAGGCGACGTGGACCAGGGGCCCCTCCTTGCCCAGGCTCAGCCCCGAGGACACGGCCAGCACGAGGGTGATGGTTTTGATGACCAGCGTCCACTTGCCCAGGTAGCCTCTAATGATGAAACCACTTAAGATAGTTTTGATCTGGAAGTCAAGCACACAAAGCTCTACAGGCTTTCATTCAAGCCCTGGTCAGAGCTCCTGATTTACTGGGTGTTCCCAACCCTGCCCTTCCCTACAGGTTTCAGAGTGCCCCCCCAGTTACTAATAGTAACTTAGAGTCTTTAAAAATATCCCTTCATGTAAAGGCAGAACCAGTCATCTCAGTCCTTCCTTCAGGGCCCCTATACCTGATGGAGAACCACCCAAGCAGTACCTCCTGCAGGAAATGCCAAAAACCTTAATTTTTGAAGGGATCGCAAGGAGATTTTAGTACTAGACACGTTTCAGGAACACTTGGAAAAACACCCATATATTAAGCCACCACCTAAAGTAGAAGAACTTATTCCATAGCAGGTTGTGTGTAAGTTTTGGATGATGGATCCCCTACCCCACCTGAAAAACAACCCACTCTCATTCTCACTCACCTCTGGGATCCCTGAGCCACAGGCATAAGGAGCAAACCCCTTCACAAGTAGCACAGCAAGGAGGGAGAACATCAAGGCCCAGACAACGTACATGAAGTAGTTGAGAATATATGCAAATGCCCCCTGGAAAAACACGGAGAAAAATGCCCAAATTAGATCATTTCAAGTGAGCCCATATCAAACCTGTGCACTGAAGTGAGCACAGGGAAACAGCAGGTCATCTCAGAGAGTTACTGGCCAAAAATGGAGAGAGCTACCCTAAGCCTGAGGTTTCAAGGGTGAGGTACACGTGCTGGGTTATGGGGATGAACCAATCCCACCTCCACAAGCCATTCATTAAACAGCAAACAAGGTACAGGAGTAGAATCACGGAATTGTTTAGGCTGGAAAAGACCTTAAATTCAACCTCAGCTTGGAAGTGGCTCAGTGTTGTCCCAGTCAAGCAGCTGCTCCACTGCACAGAGCTGCCCCAAACACAGGACTGGAGCCTGTGACATTCCCCCAAAACGTTCGTGGGCAAAATACCCTCCAAGCACCACATCTTGGACACACAGCTAACACACTGCACCTCTAAACGTGGCAGTGTTTTGCTTCCCCACATCCCCTCTGAGGACAACACATCAGTAACTTGTTGACACCCTGGAAGACCCCACTGATGAGTATTAAACCACTGAACCACCCAGAGCTTGGACTTCTTGCATCTACACCCAGATCACTCCCTGGGATGGTACAGGCTGGGTAACTGGGGAATCCAGCAGCAAAAGCAGCTGCAGTCACCTCTCCATAGCCGAGGATGAGCTGGGACCAGCTCTTCCACTCGGGACACTTGTCTCTGTCGGTGAAGGTGGTGTTGGATTTCCAGCAGCAGTGCTCGTGGTTGAACCAGAACCCTGCCAAGCACACTCCTTCCTTCAGATCTGTCATCCAGTGGGCAGAGATGTCGATCAGCCCTGCCAAGGAGCCTGGTGTAAAGGGAAAAAAACCCCAAAAACAGAATAGTTTAATAATCACCTTGTGCACACTCAAATACCTGAAGGTCACAGTCTGCCCCACTGATTCCTGACTCACCCTCCAACACATAGAGCAACACTGGTATTTCTGCCTACAGTTCTCTTTCATTCTGTGGAGAGCTAAAGGGGCAGATTTGCTTGATTTTGAATAATTTCAATATAATTGAAAAGAGCAGGTGAGGGAGCAGCATGGCTGATATTTCAAAAGCTGACTGTATTCTACCTGCATCCCCAGCAATTAATTCTTCCCAATGACACTGAAAAACTGTTTATTAAACATAGCACAGCAGCATTCCTGGAGGACTCAGACAAAATGTGTCACCAGAATCCAGGAGCTGCACCAACAACGCCGACACTGTGACAGGAATAACTCTGAATTTGGAAAAAAACCACTTCCAATCCCAATTTGGAGGAAGAAAATAAAGGGGGGGGAAGTTACAACTGTGCCAAGTGAAACAACGCCAGCAGAGCCAGCACAGAAGTTAATTTGAATTTTAAAAGAGGAATCTTCATGCAATTTCTATTAATAACTTCTGTGATTTCTGAAGATCACTGGGATCAGCTCTGCTCTCACCCAAACCCCCAGATCAAAGCAGAGGCCAGGAACAGGGACCTCTGATCCATAGGAGCAAGTGGCAGCACAAGCTTCAGGGGCTGCAATCAACATTCAGCAAATCCACCAGTTAATGACAAACTGGCCAGCAGCCTTGCTTGGTAAATATTAACAGGAGATTTCACTTCATCCCTCGTGACAGATGCTTCCCTGCTTCCTATCGGGAAGATCTGTATCCAAGTGATTTACTCCTGCTGCCCTAGGGCCAAAGTTTGCTTCTAAGTCATTTAAGAGGTCTCAGCCAGCCAACCCCTGAAAGAAGATGACTTCCAAAAAACACCTCTTGATTTTTATATCCATGTAAAGTGGGGAAAAAAAAACAAACCAAAAAAGAACTAACTCTTGCTGGCAGTCCTTGGCATTAACCTCTGCAGTGCCCCTAAGGAGTGTTTGGCACTGATGTACACAAAGCACAGCGCTCTCCTCCAGCCCAGCATTTCCATCAGCTCTGCTTTAATTAACTTTTTTTTTATTTATTTCAGAGCTCTGTACCAGCAGCAGACCCAGAGCAGTGTCCAGGACAGCTCTCAGCCTCCGTTTTGTGCTTTGTTTTTGCACAAACAGGGCCCCAAAACACTTAAAAATAAACCTCTGTGAACGACAATGCAGCGGCAGAGCCCTCAGTGTCGGCACCAGTCCTCACTCCAGGGACAAATCCTGCTCCAGGGACCTCCCAGGGCTTGTGGAGGAACTGATCCCGATGCTGGAGTGCAGGAATTAGTTTTCCCTGGAGATTTGCTCTTACCTGCCAACAACCCAATGAAGAGCATCAGCAACCAGCCAGAGAAGGCATCACTCACGCTGTGCAGCAGCGCCCAGGTGGACTCCTTGCTTCTGTTGGTGATCTGGGAAAGGGTTTTCAAAAGGAGACAAAAATCCATGAGGACACTGGCCCACTGTGGTGTAAATGCTCTAAGAACAAGTTGGTGACACTGTCACTCTCCTTTGGGTGGGTGGGGGGGAGAGAAAAAGCATCAGACAGCAGCTGCTCCTACAGCTGGTGCAGTAAATGCAGCTCTGGTTGGGAGGTGTAGGAGAATGGATCAAGGATCGTGGAACCCCAGAATGATCTGAGGGCAAAGGGACCTTAAAGATCACCCAGTTCCAACACCCACCATGGGCAGGGACACCTTCCTCATCCCAGGTTGCTTCAAGCCCTGTCCAACCTGGCCTTGGACACCTCCAGGGATGGGGCAGCCACAGCATCTCTGTGCCAGGGCCCCAAGGATACGGACACAAGGGGGTCACAGGTTTAATGCCAGCACAGAGGAGTGGTCAGGCTGGGAAGAAGGCAATGGTGGCACTGGGAAGTGGGACTCAGCCCCATCCCAGATGCCCCAGGCTGAGCTGAGGCCTGTCAGTCTCACTGCTCCTGACAGGCGGACAAAGGGGGACAGAACAGCCATTGTGTGCCCAGCTGCCTCTCCCAAGGGAAACATTCCAGCTCACCACTATTATTCCCAGATAAAAAGGCACATTGATGCACACAACTAATACCCACTAAATGAGGAATAAACACAGGAAGAATAATCCTTTCTGCCTGGATGGGCGTCCGTTGGGTTTTTCCAAATGCCGCACTGATCCCTGTGACGGAATCCAGGAGGGCTTGGGGAGGCTGCCAAAACTACTTCCTTTAGATTTCTTTCCACTGGACAAACCCCACACTTCTTTGGCCAGCCCTAACTTCTGACTTGACCTGATTTGATCTCTCCTATGAAGACAGGCTGGGGTTGTCCAGTCTGGAGAACAAAAGGTTCCAAGGAGACCTTAAGAGTCCCTTGCAGTGCCTAAAGGGGCTCCAGGAGAAGTGGAAAGGAACTTTTGGACAAGGGCCTGGAGTCACAGGACACAGGGAATGGCTTCCCACTGCCAGAAGGCAGGGTTAGAGGGATATTGGGAAGGAATTCCTGGTTGTGAGGGTGGGGAGGCCCTGGCACAGGTTGTCCAGAGAAGCTGTGGCTGCCCCATCCCTGGAAGTGTCCAAGGCCAGGTTGGATGGGGCTTGGAGCAACCTGGGCTAGTGGAAGGTGTCCCTGCCCATGGCAGGGGGATGGAACTGCATGGTCTTTAAAGTCCTTCCAACCCAAACCATTCCATGATTCTCTGATCTCTGCAGACAGGAAAATGTCCCACATTGATGGGCACCACCTTTGTACCCACACCTGTGACCAGGGTTTGGGGTTTGGTCTCTTAACCCAGTGACAGGACCAGTTTTGGGGCAGGAGGCAGCAGGGACATGGAGCCCTTTGGCTGGGTCTGTACTGCCTCAAATTTTGGGGCATTACACTGTATTTCTTGTATTTATTCACACCCTGAGCAGGGTCTGTGCTCTACTTGGGTCCTGTTAGAAAAGACACAATTGTTGTGTGAGGCCCAGGGAAAAAAAATAAAGAATCAAAGAATATTTTGGGAAACAAATAGACAGGTTGAGTTCAGTCATCACCCTCCAAGACTGCTGTCAGTGAGGCAGGAGCAGATTGAGGACATGGGTACTTTATTTAAAGTCCCCCTTGCTTTCTGAGCAAATTCCCTTAATTGCACAGTGGTGAAGGGATTCTGGAAGAATTCTGGAAGAATTGCACTTCTCAAACAAAAAAATTCCAACAGAGAGAACATCTTTCACCTTTGCTGTTGTGAAAGCAGAAAAACAGGCTGGTTTGCCTATCTGAAACCCGCATTTTAAATAGATAAAAGTCTTCAGAAGAGAAGTAGCAACCGATAAACTGCAACACGTGGGATTTAGGGTTCCTTTGCCTCTAACTAAAGCTCTCACCTCCCATCCTAAGGGTAACCCCTTCATCCCAGGTGTCTCCAGGAAGTGCCTCCCTACCCCAGCAATCAGAACTAAGATTAACAAAGTTAATTATCCTGCCCTCAGTGCCAGTGAGGAGGAGTAGGAGTTTTTACCTCCCTGTGCCTGTCCCGGTCCCTGGATTTCTCTCGCACCCAGTCTATGGTGTTAAAATCTTCATAGGTGCCCACTCCAGGAAGAGGTTCCTCCAGGAAATCCATCATGGTGCTTTTGCCATTCATCCCTCCTCCATTATAGGTGGAAAAGCCTGGTGGGGGAGGAACAGGGAAAATTGAGCATTTCTTAGTTTCCCCTTTTTTTATAAAACTCCAAAACACTAATTAAAGGGGGGAAACCACAGATTTTAGTGGAAATAGAGCTACTGAGGTGTTCTCTGAGCTAAATACCCCAGGTGATCTGAGCCAGGCACAGCCTTCCCAGCTCCAGCAGCTCACATGGAGATGGGGCTGTTCCTGGAAATGACTGTTCAAAACCAAAGGGAATCAGCACTAGATGTTGACTTTTCCCTAAATCCAGGACTTGCCATGAGGAATATTTTGCCATTTGAGGCAAGCAGAGTGGAGAGGGAGAGGAGAAAGGGAATATTGGAGACCCCCAGGCGAGCTGAAGGGAATCCCAGGTGGATCTGGCGAGGATGAGAGCAGGGTGGGCAGGAGGGCATGGATGGGAGCAGGGATACAGGGAAAGCAAAGCATCCAATGGGGCATGGAAAACAGAAACAGTGGTACCAAAAGGGATACCATTGGGAAAACACCAAACTGGGGCTTGCAGCCTCCCTTGGTGGAGAGAACTCAGCCAAACCACTCAAACTCCTCCTAACCTGCTCCAGCCCACGGAAAACAACGGTTAGTGTGGGTGTACATTCCCAAAATCATGGTTCTGTAAGACACTAAGTGTTTCCAGCCATCCAGAGGGAAGAACAGCAAAGCAAAAACCAAAATCCAATCAAGACTGGGAAGTGGTGGGGAAGAGCAGGGTTAAAACTCTCAGGCAGAAGGATAATGGTTGGTATTTCACTCAGCATGTTTAGGTTGCAGCTATCATGCAGGGCAAAGGTGTCTCCAGGTGGGAAAAACAAGGAATTCAAACAGCTGCTCTCTGCCCCATCATCTAAAGCAGGAGGGGAAAAGAGAGCTGTGATGTCTTCCCAACCCATCTCCCAGATTGGCACGGCTGCCTCTTCACAGGGAAAAAGGCACAGGAAAACAAGATGAGTCATGTACAGAACTGACAACCACCACAAAATAACCCACTTAAAAACGCTCCTCGCTTCATCTGGGACAAAAAGAAGGTGAACTGGAGTTCTCCAGAGCTCTCCCCAACGGTGAGAGCACAGGCCATGAGCTCCAGCTTGCACAGGGAAGCAAACAGGGCACGTTTGCCAAAAGCCGCAAGGAATTCCTGGCTTTAATGACATTTTTGAGGTGAAAAGCTTGGAAATACACAAACTGGCATCGAGGCTGCCCTGTGCAAATATCCCCACTGGAAATTCCAAGCGCTCTTCTATAAATCTGATGGACCAGAACCTCCCTGAATAAATCCCCCTGATAACAACAGACAACCAGGTGGGGGAACGTGGAGCGCTGAGGTACCTGGAGCTCCTCCTGCCCACCTGGGTAGTGCTGCCCAGAGCCCCCTTCTCACACTGCAGTGTGGTTTTAACATCCTTGTGCCCTGGAAAAGCTGGAATACCGATTTGGGGATGGAGGGGTGGTTACTGATGGCTGGTCAGTAACCATCATTACAATCCCCAAGCCAGGCAGCCCAGCCTGAGGAGTTCTTTTTGTTTCTACAGGAATGACCAACTCTCCTAGAAGTACCCCAACCATTCCCATCTCACTGCCTATTCCACTGTTTTTTTGGCATGTCCACCGCAACATTTCCTGAAGATTAAAGACACAGCTGTCCTAAATTAAAGTATTAATAAAGGAGAGTTAAACCAGGCAAACAGAACACTCTGAGGATCATTATCTGCAAGAAGTTGAGACCAGGGGCATTCCATGCTCACTGTCCCGGAAAAACTGCCCAGACCAGTGACTTGGAGCTATCCTGGGAATGCTCTCCCAGCTCAGGGCTGCCACAGGAGCACCACAAACCAGACCCTGAGGGCACAAAGCGAGCACAGAGCTGCAATGCCAGAGGGGCTGCAGGTCATGGGACCCTGATGGCCCCATCAATCCCTCAGGCACAGCCAATGTGATCCCCTTCCATCCACCACCACAGCCTGTGATCCCATCCACGATCCTATCCTCGGCCTGTGTGATCCCACATGCAGAAGGGACTCACAGTCTCCAGAGCAGGCAGGTGCAGTTTGGATCTCCAGGATCCCCACTCAGCCCAGCCTGCCCATCCTACAGCACCAGGGTTGCCATTCCCAAAGCAGAATCCCAAGGTCTCCAGCCCTACACCACAATTGTCCATTTGACAGAAGACAATGAGGAAATATCCTTATATTTTTTTTCCAGGAGTAATCCAGAACAATAAAATGGCTGACAGCCATAAATATTTATCAAGATCATATTTCCTGCCTCGGCTGGTTGCAAATCAAGGATCCTAGAATAAGCAGATAGATATAAAGGAGGAAAATGAGCTCAGTGATGCTTTGCCACTGCACAGGTCCCCCTGTTGTTGGGAATGTCCAGATCTCTAAATCAGAATTTAATGCCAGAGACAGCAAGTGAAAAGTGACCCTGTTACAGCTCATTTCTAAACACAGATTCCTCAGTGTTTTGATCAGCTCCCCAGAACGGGTTAATTAATCCTCCACTTCAGACTCTGGCTCAGGAAAACCAGGCAGGGCTTGTTAAAGTTACAGACTCTGCCCCGTGCCACCCCCACAAAGCCCCGGCGTTTAGGAAGGGTCCTGCCGGCAGCAGGGGGACATCCAGGGCACCTGCAGATCCCTGCCACCGCTCCCCTGCTCCGGCCAACCCGGGGAAAGCCAGGGGTTTGCAGGCTGTGCACAACCATTACACAGCAGAAATCCCACTGCCCACCCACCCTGATCCACCGCCCCCATCCCAGCCGCAGAGCCAGCCAGCAGTCTGCCCGCTGCCTCCACAGCCTGCACGGACACACGGGCACGTTCCCCTTGGCTCACACCTCCTCCTCCTCCTCCCTGGAAGGGTCTCCTCACCCTGGCTCAGCCGCTCCTCGGGAGCACCTCTGGGGGTCTGCCTGTGCCATGGCCGTGGCTCAGGGGATGTTCCCGGGGCTCACAGCGGCACTTGCTGCATCCTCTTCCTCCGGACTCTGATCCCGCAGCGGTGCTGCCACCCCCCCCAACCCGGCATGTCGTCACCGGCACCGTCACATGAGCCAGCCCTTGCACCTCCACGGACGGACAGGATTGGAGAGGCACAGGGAGAGGGGTCAGGCTCGCAGGCAAGGGCAGAGGGAGCGAGCTCCGGCCAGGCATGGGGGAATCCCGATGGTCCAGAGCGGAGGCTGCACCCCAAAGCGACGAGCGGAGCCGCTCCGGCAGCACTCGGGACAATGTGGCAGAATGGATTCCCCGGGACTAAAACCCATTTGCCGTGCTGCAGACTGGGAGCTGCAGAGCTGGGGCTGTCCAGGGCTCTGGGCTGCAGAAAACTCGCTGGAAAATGCTGTTTGTGCTCATAAGCACCAGGAATCAGGCAGGGTAAAGTGCACACTCAGACGTGATCACTGTCACAGAGGGTCTGCGGTGGAAAGGACCTTAAAGCTCATTCCACTTCACTCCCAGCCACAGGCAGGGACACCTTCCACTAGCCCAGGTTGCTCTAAGCCCTGTCCATCCTAGTCTTGAACACTTCCAGGGATGGGGCAGCCACAGTTTCTCTGGGCAGCCTGCGCCAGTTTGAAACCATTCCCCCTTGTCCTCTCACTCTATCCTTTCTCCTAAGTCCCTCTCCAGCTCTCCTGGAGCCCCTTTAGGCGCTGGAAGGGGCTCTCAGGTCTCCCTGGAGCCTTCTCTTCTCCAGGTGAACATCCCAGCTCTCCCAGCCCGGCTCCAGGAGCAGAGGGGCTCCAGCTCTTGGAGCATCTCTGTAGCCTCCTCTGGACTCAATCCAGCAGCTCCACATCTGATGTTGTTCCCTAGGGATGGAGGCAGGTCTGCAGGTGGGGTCTCACCTGAGTGGGCAGCGGGGCAGATTCCCCCCCTGCCCTGTTGCCCACGATGGGGATGAGCCCAGAGCACTGTTGGTTTCTGGAGCACACAGCCAAGGTATGTGGAGCTTCTCATCCACCAACACCCCCACATCCCTCTCCTCAGGGCTGTTCTCCATCCATTCTCCACCCAGCCTGGATTTGTGCTTGGGACTGCCCCGACCCACACACCGATTCCCCTTCACCCCAAAGATCTGCCAAACCCGACCCCTAACCACCTCACCATCCTGTCCGTGGAGGGACACCCCAGACAGAGCACCCTGCTCCCCACCTCCCCCCAGGAATGCTCCTGGCACACCAGCCTGGGACATACATACCCTGCTCTGCACCACGTCAGGATGCGGCACAGGAGAACACACATCTATCAGCAGTCTCCTGACCCCCGTGGGTCAGTCACTGATGTACTGACACACAAACCCCTTCCTTTTCCCACCCAGCTCACAATTTCCCTGCTGAACAGCTCTTACTCACTGTCTTTCCAGCAGACAGCCACTGGATTGTCCTTTTGTCCTCTCAGCACAGTCAATACTTCAAAGTTCTCCCAACCCCGGGCCCCACGAGCACCTTTATCTTGCCACTCAATGTGCACAAGGCTGGTGATTAAGTTCCTCCAGCTCCAATTTGCTGGTGATAACTTGTCATTCAGACATTCAGACTGAAACCCTACGCCCTCCACATGCTGGCTTTGGTCTCACTGATTAACTGCTCCCGAGCTCTGTCTGAGGAAAGCAGGTGACAAGAAAAGCCAGGGGAGATGTGCCAGCTCGAGGTTCCCACTTCAAGTTTTAATTAAATTTTTAATTTAAGATGGAGAATAACTCGCTGCTAAATCCTGTTTGTGCTCATAAGCACCAGGGTAAACTGTGCATTCAGATCTCTGATCGTGGAGTCACAGAATGGTTTGAGTTGGAAGGGACCTTAAAGCCCATCCAGTCCCACAAGCAGGGACACCTTCCACTAGCCCAGGTTGCTCCAAGCCCCGTCCAACCTGGCCTTGGACACTTCCAGGCATCCCGGGGCAGTCACAGCTTCCCTGGGCAACCTGTGCCAGGGCCTCCCCACCCTCACAGGGAAGGATTTCTTAGATCTAACCTGAATCTTCCCTCTCAGTTCAAACCCTCCCCTGTCATTACCTGCCTCTATTCTTGCCTTTAGAGCTCAAAGAGAAGAAAACAACATTCAGTCCTACAGAGAAAAGGAGACCTTCCACCTGAAACATGTTTAAATCTTCCTCTGAAAGAAAGGGGAACACAGCCCTTTGCTCCTACAATTTAAAGCCCATCCAGAGGCTTCCATGACTGCCAAGCATTACATCTTATTCCTCCTGAGCTGGTGCTGCCTCCCCACTGCCCGAGTGGGGAAAGGGCCACTGAAATAAAACACGAGGCAAACCAGCACTGCCACCTCACTTAAACACCCATCACATCCTTTAACCTATTCAGGGGAAACCACTGGCATACCAACAGTCTTGGAAAGGGCTGTCCAGGAATCGGTTCGAGTTGCCCTCATAACAAGGTTGGCAGAAGCAACCCCCTCTATCTAGGAGACACTTCCTGGCAAGGCAGCTTTTCCAGCAGATCTGGCTAAAGGAATCAGGCCTCATAAATCTTCTATTTCATCCAAAAAAACCCAGCAATCAACAGGACTGCAGATAGAATCCAAGCGACCATGTTTTAGGTACCCATGAAGCTTTGGACAGAATTTCCTTTACAAGATCTAAAGCAAATTAAGCTGTTGGGGAGTAACAGGGAAACTTTCTCCCAGAAAAGCAACAGGATGAAGACACAGGATGATGGACAAATCCCTCTGTTTTCAAAACAGGAGAAAGGCAACCCTGGAATCCCACTCAGTTCTGCTTGTCCTGGGCCATTCCATGTATTCCTAAGAGGTTTGGAGAAGTGGTGACTACACTTGGGGCAGTGTTTTGGGTAACCAGCACGTCTTGGGCTGGCTTTAGAGACTCACAGCTGGGATAGGAGGGAGCAGGAGAAACTCACTGCCAAAAAAACAAGGTTTAGAGGAGGAGGAAAAGAACTGCAAACCCTCCTGCTCCAAGTCAGCACGTTTGACTTCAAGTGTCTGCGACAACACTCAGCAAGTGGTTGCTCAATAACTGAGGGGAGGCAACCAGGAAACAGCTCTTTTCTTTAAAATTCCTTAAGCCAAGAAGCAGCAGAGATTTGCTGCTGCACAAATGCACCTTGGACATCACGTGTAGCTCTGGGCACCTTGACTGTGAAACAGAAAGGTGACACCAGTGAGATGAAACAACTTCTAGGAAGCCAGATGACCTTTAAAGGTCCCTTTCCAACCCAAACTATTTAATGATTCTAGGATTCTGCATCCTTAAAAAGACTGTGCCACCCCATGAACCCTTTGGCCAAGATGTAAATCCCAACTCTGACAACAACTTTGAGAAAGCACTGCTAAGGTTCCCTCATTTCCTGCTGTAGCACCATTACCTTAGTGCCAAGACTGCAAGGAAAACTATAAAAGTATCAGGGGATTTGATTAAACAGTTTTGACTCCCAAGCACAACTTAACAGCGTGGAAAAAAAGCCCACAGTAATCAAGGAAAGTCTTATCTGTTCCATTTTACTGATAAAATGCTGAAGTCCAGACCAGAGGAGATAAGAGGGAGAGAATGTGTTACTCCTGGTGAGGTTTCAGTAACACCAACAGGAGTGAGAAGCCACTGCAGTTGGTTTTAGAGCAGTTTGACTGAAACAGGCCTGAAGCACTTGGAATATCTACATTTCAGCAGCAGCAAGGCTGGTGGTTCCCAGCAGAGCCCTGCCACTGTCACTCACCAGTCAAGGCCCCCTAAGGGAAAGCTCTGAGGAGCTCCAGCTGCCACACACATTCCAGATTTACAGATCCATCAGGCAGGAGGTGACACTTCCTCCTCTGGGCACCTGGCAGGAGCTGGAAGCTCCAGTTTTGGATGCTCTTTCAATTTGAAAAGCCACCACCCTTGCAGGAGAGTTTGACAGCCTTGGAGAGGGGAGAAGGGGTTAAGGCAGGGCAGGGTTCTGGTTCCCAAAGGCATCACTACCTGGTCCCCATCCAGCACCACACCAGGCAGAGGTTTGCAGGGAGAAGCTCAGTCAGCACCTCCCCAGCTCCAGTCAAACCTGTGCCCCCACAGCCTCAGGTTTCACACCTGGCACCCAAACATTTGCCAGCTGACTTCTCCTGAAGTCACCAGGGGAAAGTCACGGGGTGAACTGAAACTGCCATTTGGGCAAGAAGCTCTTTCCCCTTTTACATTTCCTCTTTTACTTCTGTGTCACCTCTCCCATGGACTTGGGGTCCAGGGGAACCACTCCTCAGGTATTTGGCCTCAGGTTGTGCCAGGGAAGGTTAGGCTGGATATGATGGAAAATTTCTTCGTGGAAAGGGTTGTCCAGCCTTGGCAAAGCCTGCCCAGAGCAGTGGTGGGGTCACCATCCCTGAAGCAATTTAACTGCCATGTGGATGTGGCACTTGAGGAACATGGGTTAGTGGTGGCCTTGGCAGTGCTGGGGACTTGATGGTCTTAGAGAGCTTTTCCAACCCAAAGGATTCTGTGATTCTCAGCCCCCTGAAGTGCTGCCACCACCATCACTTCAAAGGTGCCAGTGGGGAGAGCCCTACTTTTTTTATAAAAGTAGCCACAGGCCTTCAAACGTCCTCAGTGGAGATGGGAAAAGCCTGTTAAACAAGGAGAGGAACAACCAGATGTTCCCAGCCAACAGCAAAACCCAGATCAAGTCACCCACTACTGCTTCTAAGCCTCATGGAATAACAATCTCCTGACAAGAAATTAGGGGATTCAGCTCCTTCTCTCTAAACATCAAACTCGAGCCCAGGTTTCACCCCAGAGAGCTGACACCACCCTCCTTTGCACTGATGGAACCCAGGGAACAACACATTTGGGAGGCAAACCTTGCACTTAAATCCCTCTGCACAGTTACAGAGGGTTTTGAACCACACACAGATGTTTCTCTCTCAGAGCTGATGCAGCCCCTACCCACACACAGCGATCCCTCCTCTGCCCAAGCCAAGTGGACAAGGATCACATCGCCTCACAAGACCCCCTGCAGAAAAGCTGGCACTTTGGGCTCCTGGCAGGTGACATTTTTGGGAAGCCTGTCTTTCCTTCCAGAGAGCACATCAGCTGGGAAGCAAATCAGAGGGATTTCTTTTGAATTTCTGCCCTACAGTAAAAGGGGTGGGGGAATAGGAGGACAAGAAGGTTTACGGGAAGGCACAGAGCCCCAGATGAAGTATTTCTGCTTTTACAGTAACTTGTGATAATTCACAGAGGATACAGCAGGCAGGTCTTGCTTGTCCAGTGCCAAAGCTCAGCAGACCCATGCAGATTCATCCCTCCTCCATTAATGTCAGAGCTCAGACTCTTGGAAGGCTGAGGGTTGGCAGGGGAAGCCAACAAACCCTTCTCTGCTGTCACAGTGCAAGATTCTCTCCACAAGGGAAAACCTTTAAAACTACAGATAAAGAAGAAGAGAAGGGAAGGGAACAGAGGGGAGGGGAGAGTCTCTGCAAACATCACAATCCCCCCAGGGCTGCCATCCCTTCCCATGGCACTCATATCCTCCCTCCTGGCACCGCCAGCTCTTCCCTACAGCTGCTATTTTGGAAAACTCCAGAAGGAACTATCCAGAAGCCCAAAAAGCAGAGCAGTGGGAGAGAGTATGTTACATCTCACAGCACAGGAACCACACAGAAAGGGATGCAATCCAGCACAGAATCCTGCAAACTCTTCACCCTGGTGCCAGGACACGTCAGACCCATCCTGGGCAGAGGCCAGCAGGATACACACAGAAAATATTAGCATGAAATCCTTCCAAAAGCCACCAGGAAAAACAGGGAAAAGCCTGTGGGTGTTACCTCCCATCTCCCTGTCAAGTGGTGGGTCATCGTCTGCCATGGATAAGTCCACAGATGCTCCGGCTATTTCCAGCATATCCTCATCACTGGTGCTGCTCTGGAAGCTCCCCCGTCGATAGCCTTTCTGATCCATGGCCAGAGCTTCCAAACCTGGGAGCAAAGGGGAGTTTTTTAGAGTACAAGCAGGGAACCTCATTTTCTAAGCCAACTGGACTGACACCTGACCCCGAAGACCCGGAGGTTGCACTGCTCTTCCTATGGGAAGGGTGGGTGCAGTGCCACCGCCTGAATTTCAGGCTGGAATTCCAAGGTTTTGGAGGAGCTTTACAATTCTCTTGCACTAGATTTCACACTGCCACATGCCAGAAACAACAGCAGGTCCCAGTACGGCTCCTGAACCCAACTGGGGAGCCACAAACGTGGTAGCAATGGGGTGCCTGAGTTCTTAAAAGAACAAGTTTAGCAACCAAGCCCACAGAGATTCTCCTAACAGGGATCCTATATCCATCCTTCCACTGCTGGAAGAGGGCTCAGACTGGATGCTGGATAATGAAATGTCAGCCATGACTGAGGCTTTACCAAGGCTGTGAGACAACAAACTGCAAATCACCCCAAAAATGAGAAACAGCCCCCTCTCAGCTGTGCCATCCCACGTCACCCACTGCCAATGGCTCCCAGTGATCCGACCACAATCCCGAACACACGAGCAGCCCAAAGACCTCAGGACACGCTTTTCTCTAGGGAAAATCAATTATATTATACAATCACAGAATGGCTTGCTTGGAAGGGACCTTAAAGCTCATCTCATCCCACCCCCTGCCATGGGCAGGGACACCTTCCACTAGACCAGGAGGCTCCAAGGCCTGTCCAACCTGGCCTGGAACACTTCTAGAGATGGGAGAGCCACAGCTTCTCTGGGCAATCTGTGCCAGGGCCTCCCCACCCGGCACAGGGCCCTTCAGTGTCTCTCCTGTTGTGAAGGGCCCCAAAATTGACCCCAGGATTCAAGGTGTGGCCTCAGCAGTGCCCAGCACAGGGGGACAATCGCTGCCCTGGTCCTGCTGGCCACACTGTTCTTGATCCAGGCCAAGTTGCCATTGGCCTTCTTGCCCACCTGGGCACACTGCTGGCCACGTGTGCTTCGCTCTTGCAAACACTGATATTTTTTTCAGAGAATTAGAGAGGAACCAAATACGTGGCTCAGCCTCAGGAAGGCAAAACGCCAGCCAGCACTTCCCAACAAGCTGAATTACACACTCTGCAGAAAACACTTCCTATTGCACAGAAAAAGCCACGACAGCACACAAAAAAAAGGCCCTGGCGCTGCACGGACTGACGCGTTGGGCTCTTCACTGAGGAACGTGGTGTTCCTAAACTTTTAAGGCCTGTTTTCTCATTAAACTGGTGCAGAACACCCCAGGAAAGAGGGAGCCCAGGGGAGCTGGGTGCTCAGGAAGGCATGTGAGCTCCCTGAGAGCACAGAGACAGCGTGGCATAGAGAGCCAAGGGCAGGAGAAAGCCAGGAATTCAAAGTTAGTATTCATCAGCTAACAATAAAGATAATTAAACGTCATTAAAGCGCTGTGGTGCTCCTCCAGTGAGCTGCTTCCAGGGAAAACAGTGGGTCCCACTGCCAGCCCAGGAGTCAGGGATGGCCTGTTCATCCTGGCAGAGAACTAAGGAAACTCTGTGCTTGTGTGTCATGGGGCTCATCTGCAGCGTAACACAGTTTTACAGGGATTTTCCAATAAGACTCTCTGTGTGTGTAAATACAGGGGAAGGGGGGTTAAAATATGTTTGTATTCCTAGAATCATGGGATGGTTTGGGTTAGAAGGGACATTTAAAGGTTGTCCAGTTCCACCCCTGCCAGGGACACCTTCCATTAACCCAGGCTGCTCCAAGCCCTGTCCAGCCTGGCCTTGGACACTTCCAGGGATGGAGCAGTCCCAGCTTCTCTGGGCAACCTGTGCCAGGGCCTCACCATCCTCACAGGGAAGAATTTCTCCTAGGTATCTCAAATATTTGCTTTGCACAACAAGCATCAGTTCCTGCCCAGGCTGCACAGGCAGCTGGACCCCCTGCTCCAGGAGCAGAAACCGGAGCAACGGCACCTCCTTCTTCTCCCAATTCCTCCCCAGGTTTGTTCTCATTTACAGCTTTAGAAACCAAAACAGAGGCAGCAAATAAAGCACCTTCCAGCTGCAGCAGAGCCCAGGGAACACCTGGCAGCACAAAGAGGACACAAAGAAGACAATTCCGTGCTCACTTCTCCCCCCTCCCCCCAAGCCCCGAGACAGCTCCGGGTTTAAGTCACTCTTCCTTACCAAAACGCTCCCTCTACGGGTGAGCTCTCCCAGGCTAAACCACACGCACAAAAAATAAAATCTAACAAATAAAACAAGACCATTCTCGTGCTTATCTAGTTGTTAATTTACCACCATTCTTCACCAGGCAACAGCTGCCTCTTTCCACGGGCTACAGCACTGCCAGGACCTCCCCTTCCCCCCAGCAAAGGTACGTACCCCAAGGCTCCCGGTGTCCCCAGCGCCGGTGGGACGCCATCCTCCTCCAGCTGCCCCCATCCACCTCCTCCAGCTTTCTACTCCGTCCTGGTGCTCCCCATGGCAGTCAAGAAAAAGGGAAGCAACGAAGCAGAACCCGACAGGGTCCCCACGACGCCTGGAAGTGACTCAGATGACAGCGCTGGCAGCCAGGAAGCTGCAGCTCCGCTGCCATCCCGCTGCCAGCCCCAGCTCGGCCGGGATGCTCAGCCCCCGCCGTGATTTCCAATCAAAAAAAAACACGGACATTCCAAGGTTTTCTCCTTGTTTTGTGCCCCAGTGTCACCCAGCGCCACCATGGCAGCAGGGGAGGACTGGTGAGGAGTGAGCCCCGGAGAGCTCCGGCACTGCCGTGCTCCGAGCAGCCCTTCCAGCACACAGGCTCGAGGTTTTCCCACTCGGAGCGTGGAAAAAGCTCCCGTAGCATTTTCCCCTCCCTGTCGGAGGGGAGGCTTGACCCCAGCTCCACCAGCACCACGCGGACATCACAGCAGGAGAACAACACCAGGAGCGGGCAGCAATCCCAACCAGCCACCTCCGGAGTCATTCCCGCTGTGGGAAGGAGCCAGCTTACCACCTAGTGGCTGTTTCCTCTGGAAAACCAAAATGTGGATCACAAGACAGTGGGTTTTTTTTTAAAGATCAGCAAATCTTAAGCTAAGCTTTGACAGCTCAGGGCTTTCCCTCCTTCCCAGCCCCTCGTGGCTCTCGGGCAGCCCCTTCAGGCAAGTACCAGATAATAAGAATAAATAAATAAGAAAAAAACACGCAGAATGAGCCAACCTTAACTGAAGAAAAACAAAGGAGAGGAGAGAGAAATGTAGCTGTTTAGTTGTTGTGTCAACACGAGTGTTGTGTCAACACGAGTGTTGTATCAACACTCGTGGTGCCTGGCTGGGAGCCAGCAGAGCCAGGCTTTCAGAGAGCCCTGGAATTGTTTGGGTTGGAAGGCACCTGAAAACTCCTCCAATTCCACCTTCCTACCATGGGCAGGGACACTTTCCACTAGCCCAGGTTGCTCCAAGCCCCGTCCTACCTGGCCTTGGACACTTCCAGGGATGAAGAGTCCACAAGCTCTCTTGGGGCTTGTGGGCAACATCACCCCTCCAGAGGTTCACATGTCACTAAAAAACCCCGCATTTCCCTCCTCGAGCAGAGGACAAATGAGGGGCAAACTCCATCTACACCTAAACTAAGTGAGCTGGTTCGGATGTTGTTGAATTCCAGCCCTCGAGACCCGGAACCCTGTGCAGGAAGATTTTTAAGGAGGAGCCTCGTGCACAGTTGTGCTGCCAAACAGATCCCCCAGGGAGGGACCAGCCCTCTCTCCCCACCTTGGGACAGCAAAGCCGATGACTTGCCGCAGGCAAGAAAATGTTGTTTTTCCAAGTCATTCCCTGCTCCAATTCCCTGTGCTGCCTGAAGTGACTACAACCAGCCACTGCTCCTGTGGATGGGAAACTACACCAAATTTACAAAGGTTGGAATGACAGGACAACGTGGAATGGCTTCATGCTGGCAGGGGCAGGGTTAGATGGGATCCTGGGGAGAAATTCTTCCCTGTGAGGGTGGTGAGTTCCTTGCCCAGAGAAGCTGTAGAAGGGTGGAAGTGTTCAAGGAACAGGGAGCCCTGCTGGACAGGGCTTGAGGCAACTGATGGCAGTAGAGGGTCATCAAGGTCTCTTCCAACCCAAATCATTCCAGGATTCTATGACTGTTCCCTTCCCAGGGTGGCCAAGGGGGCCTCTGGGGCTGCCCCAGCCTCACACTGGTGTAGGAGCAGAACCCTGCCCCTCTCAGGCTGTTGACTCCCCCACTCCAGGCAGCCTTTTGCCCTCAGCAGCTGCTCCAGCAAAGGCAAACACCCCCTGGGAATGCTGCTGCCTTGGGCCAGGGCTGTCCGGCCACACTGCCCTGAACAATAGGAGGTTTGTGAGAAACTGGGAATTCTACCAACACAAGCTGCACACAAAGACTTGGATTGTTTTAGGGCTTGTTTGGGGCTCTTTTGTTGTCCTCTGACACGTACTCACACAGGCCCCCAGAGTGCTCTGCCCTGACATCCTCCCAGCAAGGTAACAGGCGCTGTCAGGAGTCACCAGGTCACGGCAGAAAGCAGAGCATGAACCCTGTGACATTCTGGGTTTTCCTGGCACTTCTGCACAGGGGGCTGATACAGAATGTGACGGGATTCACTGCTGTCCCGGGATGCTCAGGTACCACTGACACCACAGCCTTACAGCCACACCAGTATCACCTCTTCAGGATAATCCATCACTCCACAGAGCTTCTGCCTCCCAGCCCAGGACACTGGAATACCCAAGGGGAGGCAAACAGCAAACACACCCATCCCAAAACCACGACAGGCATTTCCAGGTTCCAGCCCTCGCTCCAGCAGGTGTGGACCGAGGCGATGCACAGTGAGAGCACAGCTGTGACCAAAGGCACTGCCAGCCCTCTTCAAAACCAGCATCAATCCTCCAAAAGCCCAAAGAAATGTTGTTCAGCACAAATGCAGCTGAGCTGGAAGCACCTGTACATCACAATTCATGACTAGGAACACTTCTTCTTGGTTACTGCCTCAGTTATCTGCTCCATCCATTGCTCTCTCCAGGAAACCTCATTTTTTTCCTCTTAAACTTTATTTCCATTTTAATTCTCAGTTAAAAAGCACAATGTCAGCTCAGACACCGTCTTCCCAGGAGGTTCTTCACAACCATTTTCAGCTTCTCAGTTTAATATTTTGACAAAAAGCAGCCAGGCACAAAAATGCCCAAGAACCAAATTTACAGGTAGCTCGTGATCTGTTCAGGGGAGGTTGCTACTGGATTTTAAGCTGTATTTTCCAGACTAGGTTCAGTTACTTACAGCAATTTCCACACTGCAACACAACAGCTTCTCTGCCATTCCCAGCCTCTTTGGGAATCCAGGATGGTGACATCACTGCCTGTCATGGCTCTGAGCAGGAGGATCACCGTGTTTTTCCAGCATACCTGTGTGGCTGGTAAGCGATGACTCCCAGCTATCCACGGCCATCCCGGGGTTAGCAAACCCTTCCCACCACCCAGCCCTCCCAGCACACGGGAAAAGTGTGACTAACACATGACCCAGAGGGAAACAGCCAGAATAAACACATGTGGTTTCCATCGTGGAGCATTAGGACCTGATCCGGCACCGCTTTCATCCCAAAAACATCAGAGGCTCCAAAGCCACCTCCTGCCAAAATGTCTGCTCTTAAACTGGATCACAACCACAGCCTGTCCTCTTGGCCAGCTCCTTCCCTGGGAGAGCTCTGGGAATCAGGACATCCCTACAGGTCTTCTTTTTGTTATGGGGACAGGCTCCTAGGATGAATTTCCGCATCACACAGCCCACACTCAAAGAATGCTCCAGAAAAGTCCACACTGAGGAGAAGTGGAGTCAGAGACTCCCAGATGGCAGTGAAGGCACTCAACAGGCTTCAGGACCTCTCTCCATCCTCTCCCTGTGAAAGGGTGCAGAGGGTCCAGCCCCACGACCCACAGACTCAGCCCAGGACAGTGAAACGCGTGGTAGCTCCCAACAGCCTGTGAAACCAGCCCTGGCACACCCACCACCAAAACAACTGCAAAATGCCTTGGATGCAAGACGAGAAGATCTTAACACCTAGAACTCTGGAATCCCAGACTGGTTTGGGTGGGGAAGGACCTTAAAGACCACCTCATTCCACAGCCCTGCCAAGAACACCTTCTACCAGACCCAAGCTCAGTCCAACCTGGCCTTGGACACTTCCAGGGATGGAGCAGCCACAGCTTCTCTGGGCAACAAATAAGATAATTTTCTACTTCCTAAATAAGTAAGTTACTGGTTTGTAACTTCGTTTTGGAGTATTTTGTAAACCCATTGCCAGTTCTGAGGTTACAACTGTCCCTCCTGGCAGTGACACACTGTCCATCCACCACAGCCCGTGCAACACCAACACACAGGATCCGCACCTTCGGATTGCATGACCTACACTCATCCCATTCTTCCCATATCAGCTACCTTTAATTATTTTCCTGGAATTCAAAAACAACAAGAATTTGCTAACAGAGAAAGCTGATGACCAAATCTGTCAGACAAAAAAAAGACGAAGCCACATAACCACTAATAAAATATCAGTCTCACCTCAAACACCATGTCTTTTTTCCCGTTTTCTTTCCTTTTTCCCCTTTATTTTTTTAAGGACTGTCATGGCTACAAAAGGAAGATTTCAACAGATATTTCCAATTACATTTAATAGTCCAGTTTAGTGTCATGCTTGCATCAAGTCTCAGCTGGAAACCTGTCACTCCACGCTTTGTGAACGCCCGGCACTGGAACTCTTCCAGCAGAACACCTTCATTTTGGTGTTGTTTTTAGGAGACACTTCTCAGAACACCCCAAAATTCAAACAGCACCACGTGGAATTGGGGTGAAGACTCATTCTGGGGAGATGCAGCTCAGCCTCTTGCTCAACAAGGTAGAAAATGCCCAAAATACTGAAATATGGGCTACAACGGATTTAATGGGATTTTCAAGCCCAAAGAGAACATAAAGCACAACTTGCACAAAATCCTGGGAGAGAACAGCCTGGGAAAGCCTCCCTGTGGTGAGGGGATGGGTTAGGGGAGGAGAGCCAGAGCCTGGGCCAGGACTGCTGCTGGGCTCCTGGGGAACAGCAGGAACAACCCGGAGCTGCTGCCAACTGCAGTGGGAATTACAGCTGGCACACAACCAGGGCTGAGCCCACCTTGCCAACCCTTCCCTCTCCACCAAATCTGTCCTAGCTGCTCAGCACATGGAGATTTGATGCTTTTCTGTCAAACCAGTGGATTTCATCCTGCTCACAGGCACCTCCTCGATCCGAACTATTCACTCTCCTTCCTTGTAGGTGGTTTAAAAAACAGACTGAAGTTCCTGAAGAAGGGAGGAATAAAGCCAGCCTTTAGGAAGTGCTGGATCATAGCCCAGAGGCTCTGAACCCTGAGGCACTGAGGCAGAACAGGCTGGCACACACACCACGGGGGGACTCCCAGCACTGAAGCCACTCCTGGGACTCATTGAATTTCCACAGACGGTTCCAGCCTCCTCCCAAAGCAGGACACACATTCCAACCTCACCTTCCACCCGGCAACAGCACAAACTGGGACGTTCCAGCATCCAAATGTTCTGGAGGAAAAGCCAGGAGGAGGCAAAAGGACTATTAAGGAGGAAAACAGGGGCACCATGGAAATCTCCCACCCCAAAACGCCCCCGGTTGCTGTGTCTGACCAAAGCACTCAGCTGGGCTCACCCCTCTCCCTGAACTCCAGGAACACCTGTGGCACCCCTTGTTCCAAATAAAACTTATATTCATCCATGGAGAGCAAGGAATAATGGCTTTACACTGCCAGAGGGCAGGGTTAGATGGGATATTGGGAAGGAATTGTTCCCTGTGAGGG